TTGCAGAAACAGTCCAAATTCTTTACCTGAAGAAATTCCAAATTCCGTCTGGAAACAAACTTAATACTGTACTATCAATCTATTGTAAAATGATACCTCTTTGCTACCGTAATAGAAAAAAATGAATATAAAATAAACAAAGCTAGCCAAATTGTATGTAGCTTAGATTGTTTCCTTGTTTATGTTATTTTGTTTTCATTTTTTGTTTTGGTTCTATGTTATTCTGCTGTTTTAATATTTTCATATTTTATGTAAACTGTCAGAGTCATGATTGAGCCAGATAGCATAAAAGTAGTATAAATAAATTACCCAAGAGCTGTAACTGATCTACTGTAAATTCAATTTAGTTCTTCGTTTTAGGGAAAAAAATCCATAGTCTCTGGCACAAAAAAAAAGTGAAAGGTCTTGCTTTCATAAAGATTGATGATTCTCCTTTTTATTTACCATATGAACTTACCGCATGCTATCAATTATCTAATATTCTTCTTTAATATTTTCTTGCATGTAAAATGTCATTGTATAAAGCTAACATAAAGCTCTGCATGTGGTTGTGCTGAAATATTTCTTTAGTCAATGAAACTGATTTTAAAGTATTAATATTTTTTGCAGATTGAGAAATTATTTTTATAAATACTTGAACCTCTCCTATTTAAGGGATTTACAATTCTTGAAAGTTGAATTGGATCAATCTAAATAATACTTTTGTTTTATTTAAGAAATTTGTCTAATTATAGGCAAATTTTGAAACTTTCTCTCCTGCATAGTATCCTATTAAGCTGTGATAGTAGCTAAGACAAACCCACCAGAACTTTCCAGTATTATTTGATTGTGGTAAAAAAAGCTATTCAAAACAAAGCACTTTAATAATTCTTGTATCCCAGTCTCTCAATACCAATCTTGTTACATACTAACCTCTCTGTCATTTTAAGTAAAATACAGTACTAAAAATCTGGACGGTTGACAGCAGACAGTTGTCTTCATCAAAGTCTATCCCAGTTGGAAATAACATAGGCAATCCAGTTTAAAGAAAAAATAACAGATGAGTGATGCTAAGTCCATACCAGATATTTTTAGACTAAACTCGCATGATTTCTATTATTCATTCTGATTTTGAAGGAGGCATAGTCTGAAACATCTAAGCATCAGATTGTATACTCCTACTGTGCCTAGCTTACTGCTTCAGTTTTCCCCCCCATCTCCTGCCAGTATCTTTATCCTGCAGCATTAATGCATTAGGGGGAGTACCAAGTGATCAGGTATATCACGAGAGGATTATTTCTTGTACTCAACCATTCCTTTTACTCTTAAAATCAAGTGTTCCTTAGTTAATATTGTATATAATTGGGGCATATTTAAATTGCTTTTAAAGCCGTAAGTCATCTTCTTGTCTACTTTGATTTTAAATTAAATTTAAATTTTAAATTTAGTTTAAATTCAGAGTGAGTAATTTTAGAAATTTTAAGAAGCCACAATTACAAAACAGTATCAAAACTATGTTTTGATTGTCACTTACAAGGTATAAGGTTAGTTCACTGTGATTAGATTTGTTAACTAACAGCCAGTTTGGTCTAATGGCTAAGGCACTAGGCTAGAAATTGGGAGACCATGATTTTGAGTCCTGCCTCAGCCAGTAAGCCTGTTTGGTGACTTTGGGCCAGTCGCTCACTCTCTCAGTGTATAGCAATTATATATCACTCCATTATGTTTAAGGCACTCTTAAGTGGTTTACAGAGTCAGCGTATTGTCCCCAACAATCTGGATCCTCATTTTACCAACCTTGGAAGGATGGAAAGCTGAGTCAATCTTGAGCCTGTCAGGAACAAACTCCTGACTGGGGCAGAGTTAGCCTGCAGTGCTGCATTCTAGACACTGCACCACTAGGCTTCTCAGCCCAACCCATGTCACAGAGTTGTGGTGAGGAAAATAGGAGGAGAAAGGTGGTTGGATATATGTTTACCACCTTGAGTTGTTAGTAAAAATAATAAAAGTAGGCTACCAATAAATAAATAAATCTCAATTTTCAGACAATCTTAAAGAGATGGATTAGCTCATTTTGGAAATATTTTGGGTCATATGTTCTTATCTGGGTACAATCACATATTTTGTGTGTTCACAAATCCATTCTGCGAACAAGGCAAAATGCAGCCAAAACCATTTATCTATAAATTCATGTGAAAATATTACCAGCTTTATCAAAAATCATCATCTTAAGCCATGGCTCATTCCTACTGCTTAATCAGTTGTTTTTTAAAAAAATATTTCTCTTGTTCTTTACCGAATATGCAGATTATTATAAAATTAAAATTAATGTACTGATTTTATGTAATCATGCATAGTTGAATCAGTAGATTGTAAATCAAAACCATGTACTAATATATTTGTTTATTCATCATACCTATTGTGCATCTCTTTATAATGGATTAAGTCCAGGTATTGCACAAATGAGAGGCTCCTTCTGCTTATGGAAATGAATTTAGTTCAATATTATCTGTCATTCAGATAATTAGTTTCTGCTTTTGCTAAAAAGACAGCAATTTTAGTTTGTTCCCCTCTCTGCTTGCAGCTCCCAGTTACCTCCATGTTGTTCTAGCGGATTTTTGAAAGCATAAAAGGGTTGCTGTGGAAAGAAGGGATCCCTTTTCTGCCTGCAGCAGTTTGCAGATTTTTAAAAAAATCTAATTTCTTGTATCTCAGACAAGATTTGCACAGGATTTCTTTTTTTAAGTTTTATTCTGAACTTAGAACAGAATAGATACTTGGAATTTTCTACTGAAACCTTTTAAGTGTTTTATTAGAACGAAGATGTTAGAACAAATGTTTAAAATCTTGCTTTTTTTTTTTACCTGACCTCAGACCGGACTCAATATTCCTTTAATGAGTTCCCAATAATAATAATTACAAATATTAAGGTGAAAGAACTGTTTCCTTGGTAGGAAATAGTTAACAATGAATCTAAATGTTCGGGTCCATCAGGTCCTTTTTTCAAGTGGCTCCATCCAAAGTTAGCAGAAATTGAACTTGTGTTTACTGTTTTATTGGCAAGTGCATTCTTCAGATTTTCATGGCTTATAACAGGAGTGGGCACTTAATATTAAGGGGTCACATGACTAATATCAATCGGGAAGGGTCACATGAGAAACTGGAACTGTTGTAGATGGTTAAACCAATAGGGCTGTGAAGATGTATAGGTACGCATGTAGGTTGGCACATATATACATGGGGGGGGGGGAAATAGTCATGCTTTTACCTTCAAAGTAAAAGCAATGCAGTTATATTGTGTGCATGGCATACACTTATTTATATTTGATTTTTAATTTCCAATTGATGTAACGTCAGCTAGACAGGGACTGTCATGTCCCTGGTGGAGACTGACTGAGGGAGAGGAGGAACAGCCGACAGGGAGTGGAAGTGTGGCTCTGGAGATTGTGGAGGAGTTTGAGGAAGGGCAGAGGCCGGCTGAGCAGTCAGAGGAGGACCCAGGCCCATCCCCTATCCATCCTAGGTCATGCAGAGAGGAGAGGATAAGGGAGAGACGTGGTCTCCTCAGGAGGAGAGGGCCTTGATCCTTTTCATGGGCTGCAGGTGTGACAGCTGAATAAAAGTTTGGACCTGTGTACTGGCAAATGCTGGAAATAAAGCATGTAAATATCTCTAGTTTATAGTTCCTCTCTGAGTTTGGCGTCCTTCCCAGTGTGTGTTATCTGTGGATGTCCTCCAGCCCTTATCTTGCCTGGTTTGTGTTGCTTTTTTCCTTCTTCTTGTAACTGTTCGTATGGGAGTTTTTTGTCTTCTGTCAAGAATATTTGGAGCTTGGAAGCAAAGTGAAGGAATAAAAGGGGCTTCACCCGTTTTCTGTGACTCTGTTTTGTATCCCACCCTGGGTCATCACAGGGACAGACAAAGGACTGGAGCTGGTGAAATGCCTAGGTCTCGTTTAGAATATTTTTGTAAACCAATTATAGGGCAATGGAACATTGGAGAAAAAAACTGGAACAAAATATGTCATTTTCATCTTGAGCTTGATCATAACTCAAAAAAAGGAATTGACTATGTCCGTGACTTTTTTAATACCTTAATTTCTGTTACTTATACAGATAGTCCTCGACTTGCCACAGTTCATTTAGTGACTGTCCAAAGTTACAGTGGTGCCTTATGAACATTTTTCACGCTTTACAACCATTGCAGCAACCCCATGGTCAGGTGATCAAAATTCAGACCCTTGACAACTGACTCATATTTATGAGGGTTGCACTATCCCAGAGTCACCTAATCCCCCTTACTGACCTGACAAGCACAGTCAATGGGGAAACCAGATTCACTTAACAGCCATGTTATTAACTTAATAACTGCAGTGATTCCCTTAACTGTGGCAGGAAAGGTCATGAAATTGGACAAAATTCATTTAAGTATCTCACTTAGCAACGTAAATTTTGGGCTCAATTGTGGTCATAAGTCAACTACCTGTACCAAGGATATGTGTTGTTTTCTGGCTAGAGGTTGCACTAAACTTGCATTGATTGATGGGTTGAATTTCTGGGTCACCTGTCTATTTTTCAATAGTCAAGGCAGGTTGCAGAAATAAACTGCTATGAACTGATTCCAGAAAGAAGATACTTCATTTCATTTTTACATGGCTTTAACTAAAATTGCCTACAACGAAGACAGTCACTTTCCTGTAACAATGCTTAGGTCTTAGTTTAAGGACTTCTCTCTTAGATTTTTGTTACTGAAATGATTTGAAAGTTAATGTTTAATAAAGCTTTGTCTAAGAAATATTGCTTTCTTAAACACTTCACATTTTTTAAAAGGGAGGCTAAGCTATACAGAATTCACACAAAATTACGTTTTATTTTATAGATGCATCTTACAATTCTAGATCTCTTAAACTGAGAGAGATTACTTGAGAGCTTCGCTAATCTGTGCTTAGCTGACCAATTGAATGAGATTGTATATGCAAGCCATACTAATCCATGTACTTACTGTTTGAATGTTTGGTACAGGAAGCGAGCAGCTGCAAAGCATCTAATAGAACGCTATTACCATCAGTTAACTGAGGGTTGTGGAAATGAAGCCTGCACGAATGAATTTTGTGCTTCCTGTCCAACTTTTCTGCGTATGGATAACAATGCAGCAGCCATTAAGGCCCTCGACCTTTATAAGATTAATGCAAAACTCTGTGATCCTCATCCCTCCAAGAAAGGAACAAGCTCGGCTTACTTAGAAAATAATTCCAAAGGTGCCCACAACAACGCCTGCACTGACAGAAAAATGAACAAAAAGGAAATGCAAGGTCCAAGAGATGACTTTAAAGGTAAGCATTACAAAACGTTCAGCAAGGATGCATCATTGGATACAACATTGTATAGTCTGCATTGTATCATACAACAGAGCAACTTCTTATCCTGATTATCTAGCATAATACAGATAGTCCTCACTCAATGTTCATTTATTCACAACTATTTGACATTGCAATGGCGCTGAACTAAGGGACTCACAACCCCCAGTCGAATCTGTGGGTTCTGCAGCGGTCTTGCAGTCACATGATTATGATCTGAATGCAATGTGTTTGCACTTATGACAGGTCACCAAGCGCTCTGCAATCATGTGATCACCATTTGTAATCTTTCCTGAGGCTTCCCCAGAAAGTCAACAGGGAATGTCACAACACACCCAGAGGCTTGCTGAAAATGATCTGTCCAGAAATCCAAGATTGGGTTGGATTTCTGCTTGGATTTTGGGACAAACCTTTTTCAGCCAGCTTTCTTAAGTGCAGAAAGGCTCCAGTCTCCAGAAAATATTGGTTTTGCTGCCTCTTTGAGAGCAAATGCGTTGCTTGGAAGACTCGGGTTCCTCCATCAGGCAGCATTTTTGTTCTCAAAGTAGCTGGTGTGAAAGCCCATTTTCATCCAGTCTCTTTGAGAGCAAAAATGCTGCCCTATAGAGAAATTTCGACCCAAACAAGGTAGAATCTTTCTGGCAAGTAGCATTTTTGCTGTCAAGGAGGCTGAATAAAAATGGAGGATTTTTTTTTTTTTACTCAGCTTTTTTGAGAGCAAAAGCACAGCCTAACTGATTTCAAAGGACAAAGTCTGACCAGTGGGGAGGAGGGGAACTGTAGCGCTAAGCTGAAGAAGCTAGGATTACGAAGAAAGTCAGTTCTAAACTTGGGTCAGGTCACATGCTGACCCACTCTACAATCACCACAATTGATTACCATAATTCCGGGCTCAATTATAATCATAAATCAAGGATTACCTATAACTGGAAATTAACCATTAGAGATGTTGATTATGCTTTTTATGTTAACCAAAAAAAAACCCCACCTTTCATTCTGGCATAATTTAAATATATATATATATATATATATATATCAGGTTGGGATCATTTATTCCTCCATTCAGAATTTAGAACCAGAATATTTTTAAAAGTTTGTAAAGGGTGAACTTAAGCTCCACAATTAACTACTTAAGTGATTGCGTTGTTTTTCCTATAATATTTGATGAGCAACGTTCATCACTGTTAATTTGTAATATGCTTACATAATCATAGAAATGAAGACAAAAATCCACAAATTACTAGGTGTGTCTTACACCAGTATGTGAGAATATATTCATTTTTAATAATTTTATTGAAAATTTTAAGTAAAGTTTATTCAAACTAAAAAAAGAAAGAAAAATATGTAAGAAAATAAGAAATAGAAAGGAAAAATAATTTATATCTTCAATACAAATATAAATCATTTCTTTATCTCTTCATCTCTTCTAATAAACAGATGTAAAGTTTTTCATCTCATAACTCATCTCTTAAGTATAGGTCCAATAAGTAATATCTTCTCTCTAGTTAGCAAAAAGTCTAAACAGAACTATAAATAACACTGACATATATAAAAGTCAGTATTTAGCATCTTATCTTTTAACTTTTAACAAAGTCTGTTGCTTTGTGGTTTCTTTGTGAGAAGCAACTGTAGAGGTTGTAGCTTGGGCAATTTCACACCCTCTCATTCAGAGAGGGTTGAAAAATATCAGCTCTCTGTTCTTAACTACAGATATCAGCTCTGCTTTTTGTGGAACCATCTTCAGTCTTCCATTCTACCCTGGAAATTCAGGATATGTAGTTTTTTTATTCTAATTATATCCTTCATGGCCTCTCCCCACTTCTTGGCTTCCTTCCATCCTTCTTTATAATATTTTCTTTGGGAGATTAAGAGGCAGAACCTGTATTGGTGGCAGCAGATAGTAAGGTATACAGTTTCTGTAAGTAGGAAAATAAGTTGTGTGTGCAGAATCTGTTAATTACTGCTGAAGGTTGCAAATATTCTTTTAATGCCTTCTATGTAAATGTATTTAACTTCAAGAATATTTTTGGCTTTGTTTTTAAATATCTAGATGTGACTTTTTTAACAGAAGAAAAAGTATATGAAATTCTTGAACTATGTAGAGAAAAAGAAGACTATTCTCCTTTGATCCGTGTAATTGGGAGAGTATTTTCTAGTGCTGAGGCCTTGGTACAGAGTTTTCGAAAAGCCAAGCAGCATACCAAGGAAGAATTGAAGTCTTTACAAGGAAAAGATGAAGATAAAGATGAAGATGAAAAAGAAAAGGCTGCATGTTCTTCTGCCATGGAAGAAGATTTAGTTGCACCATCATCGTCATCCTCGTCGTCATCAAGAATGGGTGACAGTGCACAGGGGGATAACAACCTACAAAAATTAGGCCCAGATGAAGTATCTGTAGATATCGATGCAATCAGAAGAGTCTACGTTAGATTACTTTCTAATGAAAAGATAGAAACTGCCTTTTTAAATGCACTTGTGTACTTGTCACCCAACGTTGAATGTGACTTGACTTATCATAATGTGTACTCTCGAGATCCTAACTATCTCAACTTGTTTATTATTGTTATGGAAAATGGTAATCTTCATAGTCCTGAGTACCTGGAAATGGCACTACCGTTGTTTTGCAAAGCAATGAGTAAGCTACCCCTTGCAGCTCAAGCAAAATTGGTCAGACTGTGGTCAAAGTACAGCGCAGACCAGATTCGACGAATGATGGAAACTTTTCAGCAGCTTATAACCTATAAAGTCATAAGCAATGAATTCAATAGTCGTAACTTAGTGAATGATGATGATGCTATTGTTGCTGCTTCAAAGTGCTTAAAAATGGTTTACTATGCAAATGTAGTAGGAGGAGATATAGACACAGATCACAATGAAGAGGAGGATGAAGAGCCTATCCCAGAATCTAGTGAATTGACTCTACAAGAACTCCTCGGTGAGGAAAGAAGAAATAAAAAAGGACCTCGGGTAGACCCTCTGGAAACCGAACTTGGCGTAAAAACTATAGATTGCCGAAAGCCACTTATCCCCTTCGAAGAATTTATCAATGAACCACTGAATGATGTTCTAGAAATGGACAAAGATTATACATTTTTCAAGGTAGAAACAGAAAATAAATTCTCCTTTATGACATGCCCCTTTATACTGAATGCCGTTACCAAGAACCTGGGATTGTATTATGACAACAGAATCCGTATGTACAGTGAACGTCGTATAACTGTCCTTTACAGTTTAGTTCAAGGCCAGCAGTTAAACCCATATCTGCGACTCAAAGTGAGACGTGATCACATCATAGATGATGCGCTTGTTCGGGTAAGTGGCTTGATATATAAAACATCTTTTACTAATAAAAATAATAATAATTAGGAGCCTTAATGTTTTGTTAATATTCTCTGGACACATTCAAATGATATGTACCTTAAAAAATTATTTACACACTAGAGTGAGTTTCTGACCAAAGAACAAAGGTTTTGATCCAATAGAATGAATATGATTCCATATTGTGCTTGGTTTCTTTACGTATAAAAACAGTATTCAAATTTAACCGAGAAAAATCGTTGATAGCTTTTCTTTGACCAAGACCAAAGCAATTAGCTGTGAAAGTTTCTAGAGTATTTTGTTTCAGTTTTCATTCCAGATATAGTTATTCAAACAAAATTTAAGTATTTGAAGTTCATTTTACAAGGATGAAATAATTGCACTGCATACATATTTTAAAAGATAAGTTTGGAATATATACAATAGTAGCTATGGGCTAACATTATATCATAATAACCCCATCATAATGATGCATACATGGGCAATGATACAAAGAGTAAAAAGAGAAAACACTACCATCTTTGTTTTAATATGGATCTGAAAAGCAGGTATTTTTCAGTTCAGGAAGTTATTGTCTTTTTTCAATTTTTTTCCAGTTACTGAATTTTTTATATTGAGCAAGTGCTACAGTTCTGTTAACTCATGAATATTGCCAATTATTAGCTCTGATGGAGTCCTTAAATTTTAATTGTTAAAGTGCATGGTCTTTGACCTAGCTGATTATACTGTGTTAAGCAATTGTTTGTTTAACCTTAACATAGGCTAAATTGTTTATTGTCACATGTTGATACTCATCCAAGTCATATCTAGCCATTAGTCATTAGAATATGTTGAAATCAAGATTCTTAACAAAATCCCTTTTCCCTGGGAAAACTTTACATTTCTTTTAAATGGTACACTCATGGAAAAGGAGAAAGAACAATAGTAGAATATGCAAAATAAAAGAGGTATTTGCTTATTGATATTTTAATATATGATTGGGCTCAGATGCTTCAAACTAATTGTGTATATCCTGAAATTCATTGAGTTTCTTGCAGCATACAGGTAGTCCTCAATTTACAACACTTCATTTAGTGACTGTTCAAAATTACAAATGTGAATTGAAAATGTGACATGACTGCTTTTCACTGTTACGACCTTTGCAGCATCTCCATGATCATGTGACCAAAATTCAGATGATTGGCAACTGGTTCATATTTATGACCATTGCTGTGCCCCAGGATCATATGATCACGTTTTGCGACCTTCTGACAATCAGTCAATGGGGAAGCCAGATTCACTTAACAACTGAGTTACTAACTTATCAACCACAGCAATTCATTTAACAACTGTGTCAAGAAAAGTCATAACATGAAGCAAAGTTCAGGAAAGGACTATCTGTACTATCTCTTCAGCTCAGTGGGAATCCTTGAGTGGGAGGGATGAGGGGAAGAATGTCATTCTGTAAATTGGAGATTTTCATGAAAACTCTCTCTCCCTTTCACTTTCTCCACGTATGTGTCCATCCATCCATCCATCTATCTTATCTATCCTATATGTTAAAAAAAACCTTAATGATTTCAGTAACAAACAGTTCAATTCAAAGGCTACCAAACCAGCTAATCTGGTCCTACAGCATTTTAAATAGTTACTAGATACTTAGATAACTGCCACGGCTTCTGATGAGCCATGATAATGTTGTATCTTTCCTTAAGTTCCTTGTTAAAGCTGGTTACCATCATCCTCACTCCAGATTGTTAAAGGAAACACCTACAGGTCATTTTTTATGTTGGGACTTTTTTTAAAAGTGCTAGGTGTCCAGAATTTGAGGGGGACAGTGGAAAAGTGGAAAAGTATAGAAGACTGCAATGACTTTCTTTAAGGAAAGTTAGTCACAGCTGACAGAAGATGCAGACTCTTGAAAGCTAACCCCAGAGTGAAGATTGGGAAAGTTGCAAATAGCGACACCCCAATTTGATTCTCACTCTTTGGCAGTTATCTGATAAACAGTTTATAAAGCAAGTTACTATTTTATATGTCCTTGTTCCACACCAGTCTCACTGAAATGTCACCCATGTGGTATATTTCTATCAGGCTTTTAACCCTTGAATTTCAACCCAGTTAATTTAATGGCATGCTCCTCGACAAGGTAAGCCAAAAACAGGTTCCTTGTGGATCCCTTCCCTTGTAAATTCATTATGACCCCGTTCTCTCTAGCAGAGTAAATTATTTATACTATAAAAACCCATTGTAACTATTCCCCCAAATGAAGTCGCGGTGTTCTCAGTATGGACTTTAGAAGATGCTTTTAAAGCTTTTGCATTGTGTTGTTCAATGATTTTAAAATTAAATTCATATCCAATGATATGCACTTACTCAAAGATTATTTTATTTCTCACCCTGCAGTTAGAAATGATTGCAATGGAAAATCCAGCAGATTTGAAAAAGCAGTTGTATGTAGAATTTGAAGGAGAACAAGGGGTTGATGAAGGAGGAGTTTCCAAAGAATTTTTTCAACTAGTTGTAGAAGAAATCTTCAACCCCGATATTGGTAAGTAAGTAATTTTCATGGTTATTGTGTGGGGAATTGCACTCCTCACAATTTTTTCACTGCATGTTCTGTGATTAAAGTGTTGTGCCAAGACTGAGGATACCCAGCCTCAAGTCCATCCCCTAGCATGGAAATTTGCTGGATGAGGGCCACGCTCAACCAGCCCAGCCTTGCTGTTCTGAGGAAAAAGTGAATGAAGATCTCCTTGTAAGCTATTTTGAGCTGATTTGGGGCAGGGAAGTGAGATCAAAATCTAACAAATAAATAAACCCATGACATAATTGGGTGGAATCTCATCGATATAGTTTCATGCAATACCCAAATTATTGAAATACCTTTAAGTTTTTATATGATTTTATGAATTTGGGGCCTAGTAATTTGTTTAGATGTTTAAATATTTGTACAAACACACATGCTGTGTTGAAATCACATGGTCCTGATTATTACCTAAATTGAATGTTGATTCCTGCTGTAATTGAATGCTTTTGCTTTGAATCTATTTAATACAGAAGATGGAAATTGTTCGTTTTCTTATCTCAGAAAAGTTTGCTTTCTATTCACTCAGTGATGATTGGGTTTTGTTCAGATTTTTTTAAAAAAATCTACTTCAGTAAAACTACACAATATCCTTCTAAAAAAGATACGGGGCATTTTTGCCTGTAAAAATGCATATAAAATGTCTCCCTCAGCAGAAATATCTTGCACATTCAAAGACAGTTACAGTTTAGCGTTTCCCTGAAATGTTAGGAAAAGTGTGCAAGTTGTTTTTGACATAAGCATTCAATAAGCAGTTTTATTTCATGTTGTCTTCCATTGTGCTTCGTATGCGGGTACAAAAGTTTGGAACATTCATACTATATCTTTTTTCTGAATCTATATAGTGTTAAAGATGCACACAAAAGTCATTTGTTACTCTTGATAAAAGCCTGAACTCTTGGTCGTCTTCTCTCAATGCTCAGCTTTTAAAGTTCTGTTCATCCAAAATGAATATGGTGTCTTTATCATTTGGGGCTTTTATATAAAGTGCAGATCTCTATTCAATGTGGTGAACAGTATATTATGAATTAAAGTGACTAATAACAGTGAATAACAGTGAAAAGTGAAAAACTCATAATCAGAAAATGTCTAGTTATTGAACTGTTCTCGTTAAATGTGAAATCCTGTAACTTTTTTTTTATATAGGAATGTTCACTTACGATGAGTCCACGAAATTGTTTTGGTTTAACCCATCCTCTTTTGAAACTGAGGGACAGTTTACACTGATTGGGATTGTATTGGGCCTGGCTATTTACAATAATTGTATTCTGGATGTCCATTTTCCAATGGTTGTCTATAGGAAATTAATGGGCAAAAAAGGAACTTTCCGTGATCTGGCAGATTCTCATCCTGTAAGTCCTTTAAAGTTTTCCTACTGTTTGGAAGTCCATACTTCAGTGTTGTTATATTTTAAACTTGGTGATACTATAGTATATTCTGAATGTTTATCTTTGTATGGGTGTGTGCATCTCTTATTTTTAATTACTTGTAAAAATGAGGATCAATATTGTCTCAGAATTCCATAGGGAAGTAATACTTTACTGAGATTGTATTCTGCACTGTGTTTATACAAGCTATCAATCATATGACTGTTAATGTGGATTTTAAGAATGTCAGTATCAAATAAGATTTGTACACATCTATTAAATATACTCTAGAACTCTCTGCTAAATGTTCAAAAAAATGGGCATGCACTGTTATTTGTCTGTAACAGAATTCAATATTTACAAGCTTTATTTAGAAAAATAGTAACATGATCAGCAGTGATGTGGCTATGAAATGTATCTATGAAAGGTTTTCCTCAGGATGTCTTAACTAACAAAGATTCTTTGTTATTTTTTTAAATGGTTGTGTAATTTTAACATTGCACACCAGTTTGTTTCAGGTGATAAGAGGCTAGTGGAGTATGAGATAGCAAAGCCACATTTTGAGGAGGGAACAACTCCCAGGTTCATTAGTTTCTGAAGCACTAATTAATTGTGATTAAGTTATCAGTATGCTCCCAATATTGCATAGGTTTTTAAATTAGGAAAAGCTATGTATCTGATTAGAGAATGGTGATGAATGATTTAAATTTTGTGACATTTTCAATCAAATTTGTGATCTCTTTTCCGACTATAGGAAGCAATATTTTCCCAGGATATGAAAAAAATAGCTTTTAAAAGATAGCTTCATTAAAACAAGGCATTTTTGGGGGAAAGAAACAAATTAAGGCACTTCCTTCTTCTCTCATCAAATTCTCAACATCCAACAGTTACTTTTAATATTCAATTTACTGTTACAACTGGATGCCTACATCTAGCTTGGTTCTTAATGTTTGTACACATTCTATGCATCAGGCTTCTTTAAGGCTACATGAAATATATGTACTGTTTTAGGTTCTCTACCAGAGCTTAAGAGACTTGTTGCAGTATGAAGGAAGTGTGGAAGACGATATGATGATAACTTTCCAGATATCTCATACAGATCTCTTTGGTAATCCAATGATGCATGATTTAAAGGAAAATGGAGATAAAATCCCTATTACAAATGAAAACAGAAAGGTAATATAATATGGCTGCCACCAATTATACAGTGATTATCTAAGTAAGTGGTATTCTAAAACTGCAAAGATAGCATATTGAGTAAATACATTCTGCAATCTATTTGTATTATGCACATTTATTTTTTTAGGATCTCTGCTTATATGATTTGCATTTTTTTTGAATACTATAATGAACCATGCCACAGTAGGGACAAAAAGTATATAGAGCACTAAAGTCTGCTCCCAACCTTTTTTTAACCATTCTAAGTATTTCCATAAGATTTCAATTAAAGCTTCCTAAGAGCTAGAATTTTACTTCAGATAAGTGAAGTTTGTGCCTGACTAGAAGCTGAATTTCTCTGATGCTTCTAACTGCATTTCTGATGCATCCTGGTATTTGTGGTATATATCAGTTTGGCTTCCTTTACAGGCATTGAGATTGCAACTTTCAGAATTCCTAACCGTTACCTAAAATGCACTAAATTGAAAGAAGATGGTAATGGATATGTTCTCTTAAGCTTGGATTTTCATTTACAGATATTTCATTATCTACTTAAATCCTTTAGTCCTGAAGATGTTATGGGAAAAGGAGGGTAATGAAACATCTGCCAATGAAAAACTAAGGCCAAAGAATCCTAGCGATTCAAGCCTTCAGCTCTGAGCTCCATATATTATCTATCATCAGAAGAGTAGTATATAAAGAAAAGAACCATGAGTGCAGCCTGTGCTTTGATGTAAAATAAGGCTTTCTGGGTTTTTTTAAAGCTAATATTTTTTTAATTTAAAAGTAAAATAAGAAGTTGACAAATAGTATAAAAGCAACTCAGGAAAGCATATCAGTAACTTTGATTATTAGTTACTATTAAGTTCTGTTAATTGACAATCATAACATGTGAAGTGAAGACACTACTCTGAATAAAAATATATCTTGTGTTAGATAGGGACTCCTTTGTTAAGGAATCAAAAGCCACTGTTCACTATCAACTTAAGAAAAATTCTAATGACTTCATTAGATTTCAGCCTTGTAGAGGTGAATGGTAAATAAACAAAACATGAAATACTTGTTATGAAATAATTTAAAGTTTGTAGAATCAATGCAATCTTACAGATGTGTAAGTCTTAGGGCTACTAAACAAGAGGAAGTTCATACCTAGTTTTTGAGAGGATGATGGGAAGAGCAGTTCTCTTTATTTGAGACAAAGACTCATATCTGACTTAGTAAAGAAGCTTGATGTTGTCTGCTTTTTATTAAACAGGAATTTGTTAATCTGTATTCTGACTACATTCTGAACAAATCAGTAGAAAAACAATTTAAGGCCTTTCGAAGAGGATTCCACATGGTAACCAATGAATCTCCCCTAAAATATTTATTTAGACCTGAGGAGATTGAATTGCTAATTTGCGGAAGTAGGGTAAGGCATTTTAATTAAATGGGGAAAAAATTATTGGTTTTGCTGTTGGTGTTAAATTGTATAACGGTGATATGGTATATTCTATTTACAGAATCTAGACTTCCAAGCCCTAGAAGAAACCACAGAATATGATGGCGGCTATACCAGAGATTCTCTTATAATTAGGTATGGGGACTAGGCTTTTTATGTGTAGCTATAGAAAGTGATACTTATATCTCCAAACAAGGAGAATAACCAAATATGATACAAGTCTCATAATTATAAAAAAGGGGGAAATTTGAAAGCCTTAAATCTTTAACTAGACTTTCAAACAAGAAATTTCAAGTGATGGGCATGGTTGCTAAAATAAAAGTAGTAAAAATTGGAGTGATCTCCATTTTTCATATTGCCAGATCCTACAAAGCATCAGTTTATTCTCTGTATGCGTTTATTGGAGTCACAATCAGTCTCTTTACGCCTTAAAATTTATATTTTAAGTATCATCTATAAATAACCTCTATTTCATAACTACCTTGTGTGGTTGATAAAGTTAGTTGTGTCGGCATAGAGATCTCTTGGGCTTTTCCAAAAAAGAAGGCAAGACCAAGCTGTCTCACGATTCCTGTATTTTTTTACCAGCTAGCAGTGTATGCTTACTAGCACTTCAGCAATCTTGGACTATATAGGGGAGACATTAGACATCTCTTCTCTAACCAGTCAGTAAAGCTTTCTTACTCTCAACTAACTTGAGAAGTGCTTTATTGCATTGATGAAAGTAAATTATTTGCTTCCCTCAAAAGAAGGTAATAAGAAAGTCACTACTATTAAAGATGGAATCTGGCATAGTAATATCCATGTGGATATATGAGATACTCTGCTTCTGCAAGCATCATAATTGGTCAGTTTTAGTCTCCATACATAGGGGAAGTCACTTTGATACAATTTTGAAATATTCCAATCAGTTATTCCTATAAAGAAAATTAATCTATGTTGTGCTTTCTGTAGTCCATATATTTTAGCTGGACTGATGTGACCAGATTTCCTTCTGTATAAGTTATCTTAGAGATTATGTCTTTAATGAGACAGGAAATTATATTTTATATTATAATCTTGTGTCTATGGAGATTCTCAGTCATCCAGGTCATGGTTGTCCCAAAGGTGCTATCTCAAGAAGCAACTGGACTTTCTGGTTTGTCTTTGAAGACATTTCATTTCTCATCCAAGAAGCTTCTTCAGCTCTAGCTGGATGGTGAGGAATTGAAGGATTTATACTTCTTGCAGAAAGCTGGTCAAATGAGTATGAGCATGTTAGATTGGCTGCAAGGAGTACAAATCATTCCATTCCCCACCACCCAGTCAGATATGAAGAAGCTTCTTGGATGAGAAGCAAAACGTCTTCAAAGAAAAACCAGAAAGTCCAGTTGCCTCTTGAAAAAGCACCTTTGGGATGATTATAATCTTGTATTGGCTACTTCTGAAGCAAATGTCAAAAGGCAAGTTTTATGCAGATTATCTCTAAGCAGTCATTTGTGTTATTTGCTCTGCATACAGTTTCTTTTTCTGTTTAATTTTCACTTCTGCAGGGAATTTTGGGAAATAGTCCATTCATTTACAGATGAGCAAAAAAGACTCTTCCTCCAGTTTACAACAGGGACAGACAGAGCACCAGTAGGAGGGCTTGGAAAACTAAAGATGATTATAGCCAAAAATGGCCCTGACACCGAAAGGTAAAGTCTTTAAAATTCAGAAATAGGTAGGAAATGTAGTTAAGCAATAGGTTTTCAACTTCATCTCAAATGAGGGTTACATAAACTCACTCTTATTAGCATTTGAATAACCTAATTCTTTGAAAAGTGAAAAATAAAACATGGATAAAATATCAGTATTTCTTATGCTAAGCTAATAGAACTGTTTATATTTCAAGACAATTCTGAGACTCAGTTCTTTTCTTTCTCCAGGTTACCTACATCTCATACATGCTTTAATGTCCTCTTGCTTCCGGAATATTCCAGCAAAGAGAAACTTAAGGAGAGATTGTTGAAGGCCATCACATACGCCAAAGGATTTGGCATGCTGTAATGAATTAAATAAAAGGGATAAAACGATTGGTGGCAATGGTGTCCCTGTCCAAAAATCAATAAGAGAAAACCCACAAAAGGCCATAAGCTATAGCAAGCAAGCTACCGTAGTCACCTGTATTTGGGCCTCCCTTCTTCACTTGGGGACTCTGGGCTGGAACAGCAGATTTCAGCTGCTTCTATGAACAAATTATTTTCTTTTAGCGTGAAAGTGTTACATATTCTTTCACTTGTATGTACAGAGAGGTTTTCCTGAATATTTATTTTAAAGGGTTAAATCACTTTTGCTTGTGTTTTATTACTGCTTGAAGTTGAGCCTTTTTGAGTATTTACAAGAAAACAAAACTGTACTCTCCCAAGGAAAATATTGCCATCATTTGTAGATTGTGTAACCTTTTAAGTATGTGCTACATTTTTGTCCCAGTTAACAAATCAAAATCGGGAACTGTACTTTTTGAACAGTTTTGCTTTTGAAACTTGAAGTCTTGGAAAACAAAATGGTGTGATGCAATGACTGCTGTTCTAGCCCCCAAAGACATTTGTGGAAAAGCATTAGAATCAATAAAGATGGAAGGGAGAACTTGGAATGTTAAATTACAGCCTTCAGACCTTTACTTTTAGCCACAGCACAATTAAACAAAAACAAAAAAGTCATTTCATTATATACGTTGCCTTTCACGTGTCTTGTCTTGTAGCATACCGGGTTTTTAATTAGCAAGATTTCTAGCCATATAGAAATATGAACATAGTTAATGTCACCTTTTTCTTTTTAAGAAAAAAAAATATTTATTGGGAAAAGTGCATTTCAGCCAAACAATTTTAGAGTATAGGAAAATGTGGGAGAAATCAGAATGTTGGGTCTATAGGCAAAAGCATGTGAAGTGCACTTAAAAAGAAGCTATTGGTTTCTCTTCAGTTGACATTTTAAATAGACAATTCAGTCTTCCCTGCAAGCTTTTTTTTTTTTAAATGTACTGCTGTTTCTTTATCAAGGCATATGATCAGTGCTGCAGCAAGGAGATGCCTTTTCTTTCTCTCCTCATCTAGCAACAGGGGGAAATGATTTTTTAAAAGGACACCTTTGCATTGTAATACTCCCAAGTTATTCATTCAATGTGTAGAAAGTAAATCCTAAATTCACTTCTCTCTTTTACATGGCATATCATAAATTCAGAATGTAAATCTTTTACCTTTCTACAGAGCATCCCTACACATTGCTCATTGCTGCTATTACAGTATGAATAAAAGGATCATACATGCTTTATCAAGACAATACAGGTGGTTGTTCCTCTCACTGTAAATGTCAGCTGATGTGTAGAAGTGAGCTTGTGCCTTGGTGATAGCTAATCCTGTCTTTGGTGCAGAATTGGTATTAGTGAAAAAGACTAAACTCTGAAATCCTTTGAAGGGGAAAAATGTCTTTCAGGATTGCTAGCCCTTAAACAGAAACGTTATGTTAATCTAGAATTACACATAGTAAATGTCTCACTTTTATGTAAATGAAAATGATCACTAATTTCTTTTATACGCTAAGTATATTGCGACTACTTTCAATGTGCTAAAAATAGCAGCTGTGGGAATCTTGACAAATGATGTCCATTCATGAGTGAAGTGAATGGCTACAGGTACTCTCTCAGAATTGAGTCTGCTTTTAACAATGGTCAGAAAGCAAATGCGTTTTCCCCCAATAGGGTTGTTGTTGTTTTGCCAGAAACCAGAAGTAAACACCAAAAATGATTTAAAATCAAAAGACATAACTGCAAGATACTGCAAACTGCTGTATAGTGAGCCAGTTGCCAAGTGTCCAAAATGTAGTTACATGATTATGGAAAGGAATTACGATCTTTATAACTCTGAAAAAGAGTTGTAAGTAGCTCTGGAATGGTCCATGGTAACTTTGAACAGTTGTTAAGCGACCCCCAATTTGTCCAACAGGGTTTAAATTACAGGTTTATTTGAAAAGGTTCACTGTCAAAGAACAACTTCCTAGAATCAATTATAGCGAGATCAGAATCCTCATCTGAGAATTCTGGCAAGCCGCAGTCAGTCCGAATAAAAATTGACTACAGGAAGCTGCTCTCTGGATATTGCTGAATGTCACACCCCAGGTTAGAAAAGCATGGAAATAATTTGCAGTATTCCTTTAAGGCAGGGGTCCCAACCCCCATTCCGTGAACCGGCACCAGGCCGTGCCATGCCAGAAACCAGGCTATGCAAACAAGCAAAGCCGCATACGCAGGATGCAGGCAGCACACAAAACCACACCCCCTCCAGCCGTGGAAAATCTACCTCCACGGAACCGGTCCCTGGTGCCCAAAAGGGTGGGGGGGACTTCCTTAAGGTCTGAGAATGAACATAGTATTGGGAAGATGCTCAGACTGGCTCCTCCCTGACATATTGGTGGTGTATGAGAGTAGAAAAGTAAAACATTAGCAGACTTCCAAGATTGATGTCAGCTATAGGAGACAGACCAGCTCAGGAAACTGATTCCAAAGGAAAGCTAGGATTATACTAGATTGGCTTAGGCCAGGGGTGTCAAACTCATGTCATTACTGCATCATCATGTGATATATTGCGACTTTTCCCCCTTCACTAAAGGGAGCGTGGCCAGTGCTGATGCATCCAGCCCGCAGGCTGTGAGTTTGACAGCCCTGGCTTAGGCTAAAGTCTTCCTGCGAGGATAGTTTCTGTGCTGGCCTACCTTGTTGAGCTGACATCAGCAGCTGCCTTCATTGCTGGGAATTTTCCCAAGTTCCAAGACACTTGAGTTATAAGGCCCACGTTAGATGTCATGTATGACAATTTTATGGCAAAGAATTATAATAGGTTAAAATTACATTGATTGCATGTAATTCTTATTTAAACAGTAACAACCAAGAGGTTATTTTGGGATGCACTAGAACTTGATTTTTCTTACTAGGCACAGTCTTAAGTATTAAAAAATAAAGGCTTCAGTTTCAGTCCAGTATCAGAAATTTCATCCTGGGATAAATTCAAGAGAGAATATCTCTTGGAAATCAAGTTAAGAAAGAGCCATTTTAATAGAGGACCAATATGGCATACATGGAATATGTGTCCATAGACATTTCTTCTGGGGACAGCCTGCCCTGATATTCTTTTCATATTAAGAGGGAGGAAAAGTGTCCCATTTTCTGAGTGCCCCTTAGTTTTCATTTTTAATTTCATCACAGTCCTATAAGCGTTCAAAAATAAAATGACAAAAGTACAGGATAATTTTTAGATTCAAAAAAAGGTGTTGCATTCTTAGTGACCCTTGTTCTAGCACATTTGATGTAATAAATAAAAGTTCACAGACTAAATCATTTAAATTACTATGAGAATTAATTCTTAACCTGTTTATTTACATAAATCACATATTTGCATATTAACCGAGGCAGAAAAATAATTATGGTGGTAAATTGCAACTGTTCCAAGAAATGGAGAGGCTGAGAACTGATTACTGCATCCAATCCCTCCCTTCGCAAGTTTAATTTTGCATACAATCAAAAAACTGAACTATAATGTTCATTGGTTTTAGAATTTAACAGCATCAAATCCTTAAAAACAATAAGAAAAGGCAGCTTGATGAAAAGGACACCAAGAGGATCCCAACATAATTGTTAGTTTTGCTAAATGGTCAGATCTGATTTAAATATATGATTTTTTATATATATTAAAAGAATACTTTCTTAATGTATAATATACTAGGGCTGAAATGTCCCAGTTTAATTTTTGCTTCAAATTAAGCTCTCATGTTTTAAGAAGTAATTATATTTTTTTACAATCATGGGGTTTAAATCCATGTTGATTTTCAATATAAATAATCAACTCGTATTCTACACTTTGTCAGGATCCAGATTACTGGAATCAATACAATCTGAATAGTGACAAAGTGTAGAATAAAAGTTGATTACTTGCACTGAAGATCAACCTGCATTTAAGCCAACTAATAGGAATAAGGTACAGAAAAGATAGGAAATGTCTGTTTCCACAAGCTTGAAACAAACTTAAACAAACTTAAAAAGTAATGATTTTTCACATATTTCCATATTTATTAATCAAATGTATAGAAGATTGGTAAGGATCATTCTAATATATGACTGTTAAAATCACTAACTTTCCCTGCCTGTTTTTCATCAGGGCAGGGATAGAAAACATTTGTAGAAGGTATTCCCAATATATACTTGGATTCTAGTAAATGATAAACACCACTTAAGAAACAAAAGAAGGATAGTCTGTTTTAGTCAATATTAATCCCAGAACAGCTCTTAATCTTGTGGGGGGAAATTGTCCAAGTCTTGTTTTGTGATCAGTTGATTAGGATTATTATTCAGCCACTGTCTTTCAATGAGATTCTCTTCAGTAAGTAACTTATTGTAATATTCCCATATTAAAATATCTAATGGCCTGTCTTTTTTGGTGAAATCCATGTCCAGTTTCTTTATTGTAATGCTTCGATGGTTATTCTCTGAACCTATTGGTTTCCATTTTCTCTGTTCCTGAGTGTTATCCCATACAAAATCCCAATTTATCTGACATTTCTGCCCTATCTGTTCCTGCAGTCTGTCAGAGTAATAGTCCTGTAAATGGCAGACTCGTTCTTGTTTTAAAGTGGCAACTTTCTCAAGAAAGAGCTTGATCTTATCATTTAAAAAGTCATAATTGTGTACTTCTAAATTTTTACTCTTCCTGTTGTATATTTCTAAAGGTATGTGGTCCAAGTTCAAGAAAAGTCTCCTTGAATTTGGTCTCCGTTTGTGACTTCTGCTTTTAGCATTTGGGCATTTTTCTTTCGAAATACCCCCTTCTGGACATCTCAGGGATGAAAACATACTAGGATCTGTAGCCTGATGTGCCGAATGCAATAGCTGGGGGGAGATTTTTGCAAAGCCAAACTTCACACTGGACAATCTGTCATTTTCTTGATGACGGGAAGTATGGGGCCTTTTGCATCTAGCAGTGCTGGCAGGTTGAATAAAAACAAGCTGACCTTCAGAAACTCCTTTCGCACCTGAAGTGACTCTCGCCTGACATTGCAGTTGAGCATTCATTTCCACTGTAGCTGGAACGGAATTCTGTTGCCCTTTAATCTCAGCTTCCTTACCTTGCCAGATTTTGTAGCTGCTGTGACTGTTAGTGACAGAGACGGCAGGTTGCTGCTTCTGAATTCTACATGGAGCTGAAATAACTCTGGAGGCTTCTGTTTTCTGCAATAGAATTCCAATCGCTTTCTTACTATCGTCGGTCACAACAGAATGCAGATTTGGAAAGAGACTCTGAGAGAGTTGTTTGACGAGCTCCCGATCACCAAATAGCTTGGCATGAGCCACTTCAGATTTCCTGAGCTTCATGGTGAATCTGTTGTACAAGATCCTTTGGTCGAGAATTATGGAATTTTCAGCCTGTTTCTTCATGGAGTTTAGAATCCTAAGCTGCTTGTTTAACAGGATTTCTTCTTTTTCATTGAAAGAGGAAGCCAGCTGGGATTTCTCCCCATCTTTGAATTTAGCTTTTTCATCCATCATGAAACAGGAGCCTGGAAATTTAAATCTGAAGCCACAACCCATGCTTAGGTTTTATAATCTTTTGACTGCTCATTCTTTTCACAGCAAATCATATTTAGCTTTCAACAGTGCGTTACTGGAGTGAGCAACATGTTTTTGGACTTCCCCCAAGACTGATTGTGAATCACAAGAAACCTTGACCGGCTATATCAACAGTCAAGTGTTTGTTGAATAGATCAAGTTCCTTATCTTTGTTGTTAAGGAAGCAAAAATGAAAGCCACCTCTTGAAAGATAATATCTGGGGTGGGGGATTTATTTGAGTCCTGCCATGAAAGACCTTCTGCAGCTAGCTAACTATTGGATTTTGCAGGACTATGCTACCATTTTCTGTAACATTAGATTAAATGTTATATATTAGATTTCATTTTTTAAAGAAATTGCTCCAATTTCAAAGATCAAGTCTTGCAAAGTAGAAGAACTAACCTATGTATGTATGTATATGAATGTAAAGAAGCCATACCTTTGGCTCAAATTCTAAATCAGTTCCCATTTATTTCATTCCTGGTGATTTTGTGAAGATTTAAAAAAACCAATAGCGTATGGCTTCACTAGGAATCAAATAAATGACGGTTAGACTTGCTTTAAGTTATAGTAGTTCCTAGATCAGCTGGTTGACCTCGGCAGCACTTGAGAAGCAAAACAGGGTCAGAAAAAGCGCCAAGACTAAAGGCTAGATGGGGAAGTGCTGGGAAACATTCAGAAGAAGGCAAGGACCTTAAAAAACCGAGCCAAATTGGTATAATATTTTAAGGTGCTGGACTAGGAGTAAGGAAGCTTGAATTATAGTCCTTGGACCCAGAAGCCAGCATATAACTTTGGGACAATCTCTCTTTCTTAGCCCTAGGAAAAAAACATTGAATCATTACCAAAAGATTGCCAATAAAACAGGTGATTACCCATCCAAGTAATCACCAGGAGCCAATATTGACTCAAATAACTATAACAGCCATAACTCCTAACAAATGTAATGACTAAAAATGTTTACCCACCCCCACTCCAAATAAACTGCTTGGAGATCTCTGAGTTTCTGTAATATAAAACCTGGGATTTTAAAACAGTAATTAAAAAGGGAGTAATAAACCTTCTCCACCCACAAACCTAACAGTACTTCCATTGAGGGAGTATGTGTTTGAAGTCAAATATAGTAGATGTCTTCCCATTTGTTTATTCCCCTCCCTTGAAAGAAATTAAGCAAAGGATGCCATATAAACATCATGCAATAAATTATTTTACCCCCCTTCTCTTGACATTCTCCCCCACTGTTCAGTAAATAAGCTTTTATGCATTGATTCCCTTTCTACTTTAGCACCCTGCTTGCAGATCAAATTGCACGCAATAGGAAACCAGCCCTTTTAATATAGAATTGCTGGAAGGGGTTAAGAAAGCCAGTTAAGCCACACTCCATTGCCTAGCAGTCATGAACAAATTGACTGTGTTTATGAAGGCAAGGGAGGTGTAGGGAAGAAAAGAGGGACTGTAGATAAAGTGGGACATAGAAAATGAGTTGCTTTCGGTGTAGCCTCAGGCGAGGAGAATTTTTCCATGATGTTCTTTGACAACTTGCTCAGATTTCTTTATGATGTGCTGATGGTTTCATGCCAAGACAAGTGGTCCTATAGATCAGAGGTCCCCAGGTCCATGGACTGGCACCAGTCCGTGGCACGCCAGAAATTGGTCCGCAGAAACAAGTGAAACCTCATCCGTGAAATGCAGGCAGCACACAAAGCCACACCCCCTCCAGTCTGTGGAAAAACCCCTCTCCACAGAACTGATCCCTGATGCCCAAAAGGTCGGAGGTTGCTGCTCTAGATCACTATGTTTGTTTATATGTGCCTTATGGGTGAGATGTACTTATGGGTGAGAGCTACTTTGTAGCTTTCAAATTTAAGTTTGCATGTTTTGTACCATAAATTCCTTCTATGCTGCATCATCTTATTCTTTCATTGTTGTGAAAAAGGGGTGAGGGTAGTGACAGAGGTGGTGATGACTTGCACACAAAAAACCCTATATTTCAAGCTATTAAGTGATATTTTTGTTTTGGAAATGTATTGCCTTGGGCTTACTGTATGTATAAGGGAAGCTATTAGGACTGTTCAGAAAATTACAAAAGTATGAAGGGTATTAGAAGACCTTTTTCTAAAAACACTATAAATATTCTGTTTTTTAACCCAGGCTATAAATCTGGAGTATGTAGCTTAAAGATAACTTATTTCCTTTCCCTCTGTTTTCTTGAAACCTATGAAATTTGACAGAGAGAAATGTGCCAGACTTTGAGTGCATACAAATATTAGCGGAAAGGGCAATCAGTTGGTTTGTCTGCTGTTTCACTAGTTTCAGAGAAAAAATTAGTATTAAATGCTCAAATCTTTACATGTCCCAGATAGACAGTTTCTTGAGGTGGAAACTCTGTATGACAGGAGACCAAGCAATAGAATAGCAGGTTTAACTTTCTTAAAGTATTACTTTATTTGCCACACATTTATAGGAGAGTAAGTCATTATGAGAGAGTAAGTCATATGAGCTGCATTTTTGAGGTTTTTGTATATTTTTCATGTCATCTGTAGCAGGGGTCGCCAACCTTTTGGACCTCAGGGACCACCAAACTCATAATTTTAAATCCCGGGGACCACTAATATGAATTTTGACTGGCGGTGGCTTGCTGACATTGGTGGGGGAGAGAGAGAGATCTGATCTAACCTCTCTCCCTCCCTCTCTCTCGCACACATACACACACACACAAACACACAGAGGCAGGGGTGGGATTCAAATTTCTTAACTGGTTCTGTGGGTGTGGCCTAATTTGTGGGTGTGGCTTGGTGGTCATGTGATGGGCTGGGCATGGCTTGTATGTAAGTATTATAAATATATAAATATTGAAATTTTTATAAAAAAGAGCAACTTTTACCCAAAAGCAGGCAAAGCAGGCAGTCAGATTGAGTTGCTCACTGAATCACAGATTCATTCAGAAATCTGTGTTTCTGTCATTGGCTAGCTGAGTCTGCACTGCTTCAGTCCTAAGGAAGGTTCGGCTCTGCTTTTAAGATCTAAAGATTAGCTAGAAAGCAAGAAATCCAATGATTTCCTGCTTTCTAGCAAATCTAAATCTCCCGGCACAGCAGAACAACTGATAGTTGGAAAAAAGGAAAAATAGCAACTTAGCAGGCAAGTTTCCCTGGTAAGGCAGGGAGGGCAGGCCATGTGGGCATTACAGCCTTGTGTTCCTGCGCAGCCTGGATTAATTGCTTTGGAGGGTGCTCTGGGGGTGACATTTCTCTGCGGACCACCAAAATTTTCTTGTGGACCACCAGTGGGCCGCGACTCACCAGTTGGCGACCGCTGATCTGTAGTTGCCTGGATTCTCATAACTTTGATATGGCAAGCTCACTAACCACCTTGAACATCTTACACCTAGTAAATGGGATTGGGGAGGGCATGTTTACCACTCCCCCTCTGTGACAATTTTAATCAAAGGTATAAAAATGTGTTCCCCCCAGACCATTGATAATGAGAGCAAATTAATAAGTCTGCAACGCTGTGATTTGTTTCATGTTGATATGAAAGTTTGCATGAGTTTTTGTGAGAGCTCATGTGTAACAGTACATGTGCACTTCTGTACCTTATTGAAGAGGGGAAAGATAATCTGTGGCTAAGACAGAAGTGAGGAAGGGCTAAAATGTGGCTTGTACTTCAACTTTAATTACAACTAGAAACATTTTAATGATAGTTATAATCAGAAAACTAAAAGTCATTGAAATTGCCCTCCTTTCTGTCCATCCAGAGAGCTATTTTTATTTTAGATCCAGGTAAAATCATGACACAGTTGGGAACAACTCTATTAAAGAGGTATTTTTTGGACATCTCTAAGACCACACTGAAAAAATAGAAGAGGCTGGAATTAACTTCTAAAATGCCTTTTTGAAAAGACTAGAAATTTCAAGGCTGTTTTGAAAAGCATTCTAATTTTCATGCCTTGAAAAATCAAACGAATCTGGGGAAGGGGGGAATAATTTGTGTAGATGGAAATATTCAAATTCACCTTTCAGGAGAAGTGTAAGATTAATTTGGAATCAGAAGTGACAGTAGCAGTAAAAAGGGTGGTTTTTTATGTCTATCATCAGCAGGTATTGGGGAAAGAAATTAACCTTCATGGAAGCTGTTTGGAAGAATATGACAGGAAATTACCATCACTGAGCCACTTTGAAGACTTAGGCAGAATTGCAAAAAAAATAAAAAATAACAGCTCATATGCTCTGCCTAGGACAGATTTTAAACAGCTCTTTTTAGATCAATCTCACTTCAGAAAAGCAAATAGTAATAAAAGTCACTTTCTTTTATCTTTAGATCTCCCTTCAGTTATTATTTATTTCTGCAAAAGGCCCCCATCACTTCCTGTTTCAGGAACCTATAATCTTGAGTTTTCTCTTTAGAGTACTTTATGGATTATTTCAATGGGAAATTAAGTGTAAATTAAACTTATACTGCTTATGAATTATGTTACTGGCCAGAACTTTTAAAATAGGCCTTTCACCTTTGATCAGGGACTTTTTTTAAAAAATGTGGTTTTTTTGGTCGCATTGTGTCTTAATTTCTAGCTTTCACAGCCATACAGCTACGGAATTCTAGGAGTTAAAATCCACATATCTTAAAGTTGCTGAAACACTGGTTTAGACTAATATACTCTGGGCTTTTGTCATCTTTTTTTGTCTCAATTCTTTCTTATCTGCTTCTGTGCAGTTCAGGTTTTCAGATGAGTTGCTCTTTCTTTATCATAGAGAAGAATAGATTACCGATTAGCTGTAGATGGACTGAACTTGCTAATGAAGTTTCCTGAACAAAGCTTAGTTTATTTTGTTTCATGCAGGCACCTGCTCCAACAATACTTTAGCAGGGCTATTGTTAAAGACATGGAGTTACTTGCCAGGACACTGTCAATCCCTGGCACATTCTGCTGAAGGGTTTCCCAGTCTAGAGGTTCATCTGTCTTCCTTTAGCATGCAAATAATGGCAAAAACATGGAAAAGCTGTTTGCTTTGCACTGTCTGCCTTGTGTAATGGGCAAGATAGGCAAGCAGTGATCGTAATAATGAAAAGAGGACTCATTAAGCAGATCTTGTTCTAGGCCTCTCAAAACCTAAAGCCAATTCTGTCTAATATGGGCCGTTTATCATCTTTTCTTAAAGATAAATTTAAACCTTTGAAAGTCTTACTTTCTTCTAAATGGAACAATCATTCATTCTGTATGGTTGATTTCCACATTTCTGTCTTCTCTCCAAATGTACAATACGGAGGCAAAAGGTTGTGGCTAAATATATTTCAATGAATGCTAAATTTGGCCACTGCTGCCACTTGTTCTTCAAGTAGGAGCTTTGAGTTTAGAACCAAAGATGTTGTGCCCCTGGAGTCAGAGGACTTCCATACCCACAGCAACTCTATCATCTTGCCGAATTCAGTCTGAGCTTGTTCTCCCTCATCCAGACTTCATAATTTTCAGATATGAGAATAGGGCACTATCACAACCTCCGCTTAAAAATATCTGGGTATCATCAGTATGCTTTTAAAACCTGGCCGTCTTGTCAAAAGATGAGCTCACCCAGCTGTTTCATATATACTGTATGTTAAATAGTAAGGGTGATTGCATTGGCCCTTGCAATACAATTGGCTGAAGGACACAATGTTTTCCCACCACTGCCTCCACTGATTGGAACCTTTAGGGAAAAAAAGAATAGTCCATTAGGATACTTTGATCAAAAATATCCAAAGCCATGAAGTGGTCTACCAGGAATACAAATATTACCTTGAATACCTCACAGGTTATCCATAAGACCAATAACTGTGGGTTTGCTAAACTTTCCGGGCCTTAAACCCGACTAAAGAAATTATTTTACCAAACCTTAGAAGCTTTAGGTTTCCACTTAAGAGAGACTGCTCACTGTTGAGTTTCTATGAGACTTAATCATGCACAGAGGACCATAAGGATCAGATTATCAACCTCATGCAACCCATTGACTCTTCAGAATCAATAGGAGAACCACTTGATTCTGACTGGATATTATATTTGTTATTCTTATACATTCTAAATAAAGGAATATGAAAAACAGCTTCAAGCACCAAAATCAGGAGAAATGGCTTTTGTTAAAATAAAAATGAATGAAAGATGTCATAATTAGAACTACCTAAAATAAAAATTTGTAACAAAACAATTCGATTCAATTGAGATTCTCCACACAGTTTTCTGTTGCTGATCTTTTGGAACTGAATGTACATATTGTTGTATATTTGGGGTAGGGGGAAAGTTACCAAAAAAAATCCTAAAAGAAGGAAAAAGCAAACTCTTCCATCAGAGATGTCCATGGGGGAAGAGGGGAGAGAAGAGGGCAATAATAAGTATGCAATATTTGTCACATGATTATAGCTACCATCTTGATTTTTTTACTATCCACCCCACCTCACCCCCACAAATGTCTCTGTTATTAAGAAAAATGCTTGATCATATTCATGAAATCATGGATCAGGCTTGGTTTGAAAGAGTTTTTACTTTTCCTTGCATGAAAACTGATCCAGCAGGGTACTGTTTATTAAAGCAATTCCAGTTCATTTCAATGAGAAAGATGCAGATTCTTTCACCCTTCTGCAAGTATATGGAAAATATAATTAAACCCTATGTTTTATTTTTCTACCAGTGTAAATCCATCAGTTGTAAGCAGCCATAGATTTCCTTTGTCACTTCTGTTTAAATGATAGTATGCATATAGAAATAGGGATGTGGTGGCTCAGTGGCTAAGAAGCTGAGCTTGTCGATCAGAAAGGTCGGCAGTTCAGCAGTTCGAATCCCTAGCGCCACATAACAGAGTGGGCTCCCGTTACTTGTCCCAGCTTCTGCCAACCTAGCAGTTTAAAAGCATGTAAAAATGCAAGTAGAAAAGTAGAGACCACTTTGGTGGGAAGGTAACAGCGTTCCATGCGCCTTTGGCATTTAGTCATGCTGGCCACGTGGCCACGGAGATGTCTTTGGACAGCGCTGGCTCTTCGGCTTTGAAATGGAGATGAGCACCACCCCCTAGAGCTGGAAACGACTAGCATGTATGTGCGAAGGGAACCTTTACCTTTTATCTATGCGTACAGAGGAGAAAAATGTACAAAAACAACAGGCTTTTTAACACAAGCATTATGACAGACTGTTAAAAACATATTTTGTTTTCAAAAAGCAGACTTTATGGATACATGTTTTCACATGGTTTAGACAATAATTTTTAATACATATTTAAAGTGCTAGATTCAGATCCTGAATTATTGAGTTGCAATTTTACAAAAACCAACTAAGTTAATAACGTAGTATTAGCTGCCTGGAGTCGCCAGAAGCAGCAAAAGGGAGGGGATATATAAATGAAATAAATAAAATAGTAATCTTATTCCCTATATTGCAATTGGGGGATGGATTGAGACTGGTTGAGAATAACAGAGGTTTAGTTAAGCCCAGCTTCTGAGTTTGGATCAGAAGTAAGAATCAAATAGATATTCTGTTTTCTAGCTCCATCTTTTTAGCCAGTACAGAAAGTGGTTTATTTTTGAGATGTAGCCAGTTTCAAAAGAACATTTGCCAACATTTTTTCCAAAATGTGGGGGGTGAGGGAATACTGAATGAGGTAAGTTGCAGTTTCTGCCTTTGGTCAGAAACAGAATTCTTGATGATGGGGTAAACTGATCTCTCTCTAAATGGTGAGTTATGACTGTTCATTTTCTCTCTTTCATCCTTTTCAAACCATCTTAGGTCATCTTAATTTCTGTCTGTGATTTTAACTGGAAGAATTGTATTAATTTTAGTTTGAACATCAGGAGCACCAAGCAACATCAATTAAAGCCAAAGCCCCAGCCAATGGCAATTTCCAAATGTCAACTCCCTGCTAGCATAATCCATGGCCTTGTTGGTTTGAAATTTGGGGATTGAAGGCCAGAACAAATTAGAGATGCTGCTCTAAAGAGCCGACAGTAACAGCTGTCTTCATTAATCTTAGAGTTGTGCAAAGCACACAGAAGAACCCTTCCCCAAAGCATTTAAAATCAGGGTAACAGCTCCAGCTGCCTTTGAGCCTCATATCGGGTGAGTGGGGACAGAATAAATATCCCACAAAAAACATATTCCTTCTCCCCCCCAAAAAAATCAGCAAAAGCATTTCCACAGCTGCTTACCACTGCTCAACTCATGTATATTTACTGCATAGATTTACAAGAATAAAAACTTGGCATTTCATCAGGCCTTTTCACTGGGAGAAGAGTATTAATAGGAGATTCATTTTTGAAATAAGCATACAAATACTTCATTCGTTGTTCAGGCCTCTATGTATTTGTTTATTACTATTATTATATAATGCTTAACTATAAAAAACTAAGTAGTTCACAAAACACATTAATAAAAACATAATAAAACTACATTCAGCCATACCAAAGTATATAAAATACTACACATTCCTAAAATAAGACATGACCTTCCATGAGTTCCTGAATCTCAGAAGTTTGCAGTTGAGTTCCCAAGACTTTGAATCTTGAATGATTTTTGACCTTCATGCCCTAGAAATGTTCTCATTTAGTATATGAGCCTTGTGGTTATTGGCTTCTCTCAATCAGTCACAGTCTGATATATTTTGGTGGGCCCTTGCTTGATCTTTATTTCAGCACAGATGAGACTTGGTCTGAAAAGGGGGGATTTTAATATCTGCAAGATCATTTCTTTGTCAGCTTGGATCACAACATCCCTAGGCATCTAATCAATTCAGAAAGTTTCCGGAAGACAATGGAGGAATGACTTTACTCCACATTTGGCCTGCTTGACTATGAAAAGTGGAAGCAGCCAAAGCATTGGATGAAATCACTCTGGCAAGTCCTTTGACAAATTCACTGATCCCATGCAATGAAGGCAAAGATGTCAAAGGTGGACACCATTGAGCATTGGAAAAAGCTCAAGTTTGAGCCTACCCAGATAATCTAGAAGCTACAACTGTGCAAGCCGTGATGCTAGATTTCTCCTGGAACAACCCTCAAAAAGGTAAAGAATAAGCCTTATCCTGAAATCACTGCACTGCTTCCAATACACTTCCAAATCCAACTCTTTGAAAGCCCTTTATGGTAGAGATTAAATCAGGCCACACTTTTTCTGTAGCAAGTTCTCTCAAAGGACCTTTTCCCCCAGAATACTCTTGCCACAGAGTTACAGATAGCTCCAACCCTGCAGCCAGTTTCATACATTAGAATTTGTTGGCTCTTTCATTTATGATAATACTTATCTGCTATTTATGAATATTGTTGTTTTACAATGTTTTTGATATTTTGATTATGGCTTTATAGTAGACTATTCAGCGCTTTTCAGCGTTAATTCAGCACCAGAAAAATAAACACAGATGGCTGATGCTTCATTTAACATCTTTATAAACATAATAAGTAGATTTTACAAACCAGTTGTAGATTTCTCCAACATGGAGCAAACTCTGACAGGAACATGTTGCAAGTAACTCTCAGCAGAGCAGAACGGAGAGAACTTCCAGTTTCACTTTAGTTCAGCAGGCAAGCAGAGAAGAGAAGCAGTTTCATTTCAATAGACAGACTCAGAGCTCAACATAGCTGCAGAGCTTAATATAGAGCCATGCCTAGGCTACTTTTAGTTTCAGTTTCCAGCCTAGTCTAATTCTAGTTTCAGTTTTCAAAACCGTCCTCATTGGCTGACTTAGTTGCTATGCCTATTCATTGGCTGATCTTGTTACCAAGCTCTATTCCAGTTCATGAATATACTCTGACATTCCTCCCTTCATAACCGGAAGAGACATAAATTCAATTACCTTTAATATCTTCAGATACCTGTATTTAAAGAACCACATTCACAGTTCCCTCCAAATACCCTAAGAATTCCTTTTTTATACCTATCCAATGCAATTGCGTTGATCCCCACCTTTTAACTTTCCAGTGGATATGCAACTATCAGCCTTGCAACTCTTGAACCCAAGACCCTTCAATGCCTTATCTAGACATATATTCCAATTCCTGGCTGGCTGCTTCAGCCCATAAATGGCCTTGTCCAATTTATATACTGTGTTAGGCTTTTTACTTTCATAACCTGGTGCTCGAACCGTGTAAATTTCTTCCTCTGATTCTGCATTGAGAAATGCAGTGGTTATCGCAAAATGCCACATTTTATGGCCGTGTGCTGCTGCCAACGCTAGAGCCAGCCTGATGCTCTCACTCTTTACAGTTGGTGCGAATGCCTCATCATAGTGTACATTTTTCATCTGTGAAAACCCCTGTGCCACTAACTTTGCTTTATATTGTACTTCATTATTGGGCAATACCTTTTTCTCGTATACCCACTTGCATCCTACAGCTTTGCTGCTCTGTGGCAAAGTCATAGATGTGAACGCTTCATGTTCTTCCATGGATTTCATTTCCTTGTCCATGGCTTCTTTCCACTTTACTTGTTCAATTTTAGGTAACGCCAATACTTCTTTGTAGTTCCTTGGCTCATATCATACATTACAGACTTCAACTTCACTAGCAGAATACCTGTCAGGTGGGATCCCCTTGTTGCATCACTCTGACCTGCATGGCACTGACTGCTCCTGTGTGTCAATCCTCCCTTGCTTCATATCTTATTCAGCTTTTCCTCCCTGAACCCTGACACCATCGCTAAGTGAGTTACCATCACTGTGAGTTACCATCATTAAGTGGATCACCATCACTAAGTGAATCATTCCACAAATTTGCATCAATTCTGTTCCAATTTTGTTCTGCAAAACTTGCAGACCTTAAAAATACTATTCTTCTGCTCCCATCACCTAAAGCGATAACTTTTTGAGTCTGGCTCATAGCCCATAAACCTGACCTTTCTAGCCTTTGGTTGCCCTTTCTTCTAATTGCTTTTGGAATGTGTACCCACGCATTGCTTCCAAACACTCTTAAATGTGCTAGAGATGGTTTTCTCCCACATAGCACTGCATATGAAGTATCTTAATGGAGGAACTCCACAACCTATTAACTAAATAATTAGCAGTCAATATGGTTTCACCCCAATATGACCTGCTCAGACCAGAATCCTATAGCAGTGAGTCCTTCATGGTTTGCAAGACTGCATTCCGTCTCTCAGCAACCCCATTCTCAGCTGCTGTGTAAGGATTTGTGCGTCTGTGTTTTATTCCTAATTGTGCCAACCACTGTTGAAAACTTGTTGACATGAATGTGAGCTCTAGGATAAGTGCATTGTACTAGTTTAATCTAGAGATAATGAGGATGTGGATAACTATTTTTGAGAGGTCCAGATCCAAGATATTACACAATTGGCATTCTGATCATGACTTGGCAAAAACACTCCTGGCCACGATTTGCACCGAATGGTCTAGGTGTAGTTGTAAGTTAAAGAACTTACCTAAATGGCAGATCTGCTACTCTAGGGAAAGCACTATCTCTCTAAAACACCTATCATGTAACTGCAGGACACACGGTCATTCCATTGTGATAGCATTCAATTTCATTTTCTTTCATCCCATTATAGAGTGATTTATACTTAGAGACATCAAATAACTGTATCTCAGCAGCATACCAATAGTACCTCAATCTAAATAAATTTAGTTTCATTTATTTTATATTACACTCCCAGCAATTTTATGTAGATATAAATGAGAATATTACATGCTGTGGCATCCAAATGGAGAGCCTAACGATCTGCCCATTCATCCCCCACCAGTATAAAATGGTACCTCTCAGAATGGTACCTACAATGGAATCACTGTAGAATCCCCATTCCCGAACTCTCCAAGGTGGTCTAGAAGGATGAAATAGTTCAGGCCATCAGAAACATCGGAAGAGCTGCCCTTCCATCATCCAGATTCCAATAGAGGTCATCCATGAGACCATTTGTGTCGGAAGTACCTACTAAGGAACTTCTGGATTGAAAGGATTAGCTGGTGACATCACCATTGCCAAGGGGACCTCCGAGGGGGTTCCTTTCATATCCCTCCTGTCCATGCCCAGAACTGAAACATGACTATAAGAGATTATAGTCAGCTTCATCTTTGCAATGAAGCTCTACCACCACCTTCCCAAGAATGTTCCCAAAAAGTGTAGATCAGAAATTGAGGTTGTCTAACATTGTATAAATTGACAGTGGGTCCTTTCAAGAAGCATATACTCTATCAGGTTCCACCTTCAAAGAAGCATTAATCACCTCCTGAACTCGTAGCCCACAGGTAGCAAAGCTCATGTTAACCTTCTTAGTTCTTTCACATTTGTCAAAGTAGAATCCAACTCTAAGCAAACATGAGTGACTTTGTCAGGAAATTGTTGAGCATGAAGCCCATTAGGATGTGAGTCACAAACAGGGTTGTTGGATGGATTTTTTACTGTTGCAATAATGACAGAGAAATGTGGATAGTTTGCTGTTGCCCATGTCTGCATTTGGCCAAATCCACTCTCTGTCTTCCATCACACACATTCTAGACGACATCTGCTAAATTAAGGTTTAGACATCACACATTAAGGTTTTTTTTCATGAGCAAAAAAAGACATAATGTGAAATGGATGCATTATATTAATGGAAAAACTGCTGTTTCAGGGAAAGAAATGGGCAAGTCATGTTGTTATATTTATGCATCCATATAATAAAGTCTGTTCCATTCAGAGAAGTTTCTCTTGGCAGAAGTTTCTCTTTGCAAAGATATAATGATAAATGTGATGAGGTCTATACAAATACCTAATAAGATGTGATCATCATCACTCATAGAAAATCTTCCCCCGATACAAAATAAATAAAAGAAATATGGAAATCTATCTCTAAAAAGATTTTTAAAAGTTCAGCTTTTACTATTTAGAAGACAATTGCTTCAATTAAAAACTATACAAACTTGCTGGTTCCAGATGATGATTTAAAAAAAAACAATCCTGTTCACATATTGGCAAGTTGTGTTCATATTTTAGGATGCAATAGTTCTGTGCTAAATGAAGATGACCATACATACTTAATTCTTTTTCTGTTCTTCTGGTTTTCCAGCTTCATCTGGTACATCTAACAAAGCATCATTTCCAGACTTCTTCACTTTGGTCTCAACTTCTACAAGTCTCTGCTTGAGTTTAGACTGTGAGGCAGTGTACTCTGCTAAAAGTCTAGCAAACCTTGTCTGAAGAACATCCATAGCTTGTTCAAGTTTATCTACTTTCTCTTCCAGGTCTCTTGGGTCAGCTCCTGCTCTAGCTGCCTCCTCATCAATCAAGTTATCTTTCAACAAAATTTGCCGTCCTTTTTCTTCTAGTGCCTTTTTGGCTTCAGGATATTCAGTGAGAGCTTCCATCAGGTCATCCTTAGACAAACAGAATAGATCAGAGTAACCTATGCTTCTGATATTTGCAGTTCTCCTGTTGCCAGCTTTGCTGCCTTTGATGTTCAAGATGCTGATTTCTCCAAAGTAACTGCCATCACTTAGAACCACAAATTGCGTCACCCCATCATCTGCCACGACAGCCAGTTTCCCTTCTTTAATAATATACATCTCTCTTCCAATATCACCTTTTTTGCATATGTAGTCTCCAGGACTGAAAACAGTAGGCTTTAATTTCAATACCAACTCAATCAGGAGTCCAGCTTCACAATCTTGGAAGATCCGCACTTTCCTTAGTGTATCCATGTGGACATTTATGGCAATCTCGGCCTTCAGCTTATCAGGGAGGTATTTGAGGACTTTTGTTTCTTCTACTGTTTTCTTATTGGTCCACAGATAATCAAACCATTTAATCACTCTTGCTTCCAAATCTTTGGTGACCTTTCGAAACTGCAAGTATTGCTTGATGGAGTCAACCTTGGCCTGGAACTCTGTCCTAGAGGCATTCATGTTAGAAATCATGGAGCCTACATTACCCACGATGGTAGCAAAGATAAGCACACCCACTAAAAAGTCCATGACCACAAACAGGTACTCTTCGTCTTTTACTGGAGGTGGAGTTTCTCCAATAGTTGTCAATGTCAGAGTTGACCAGTATAAGCTGTAAATATACTTTCTGGACAGTCGTCCATATTCTGGATGGGAGATATTGGGATAAACCCAAGTGTCAGTTCCAAATCCAATTAGTTTGGAAATGGCGAAATATATACATGCATTCCAGTGAATAATAATGAGAATGTACAAGACAAGGTTCCCAATACGAAATATATTTGGATAGTTTGTTCTTGTTTCAGTACGATCAAAAAATTCAAATAGCCGGGGAAGTCTTAGCAACCGGTTAAATCTCAGCTCAGGATAGTTCAGTCCAAAGTGTATAAACCCTAAATCAGTTGGGAAGAGGGACAACACGTCCAACTTGAACTGCAAAGTTCCTTTATAAAATTCTTTTAATTTCTTTTCATCTTTAACTAGTAGTCCTTGTTCAAGGAAACCTTAAAGTAGCATAAAGAAGAAGAAAAAAGGCAAGGAATGTCTTGAGCAGAAATGCCTAAATCATAAAGCTTTCCATACTAACTTGCAAGTGCAAAATATATTGCAGTGACCTTTCATTTCATCTTCTCTGAGGTACCCTCCTGTTTTACTCATTTATATGCTGAAAAGAGCATAAAGGGCTGTGCCTTATAAAGGATATCATCAAAGAAAGCAAACTCCATTTTTTCACATTAAAATATACTTTAGCCCTGTTTAGGACATATGTTATCATTGGCTTTTGCTGTCAGTTGTACGTCTATGTTGAACAGTTTTCAGTTCATGTAAAAGCTGCTATCCTAAAGGTGCTTTTTTCAGGAGGCAACTGGACTTTCTGTTTTGTTTTTTTCTTTTGAACACGTTTCGCTTCTCATCCAAGAAGCTTCTTCAGCTCTGACAGAATAGTGGGGAATGGAACGATTTATATTCCTTGCACTTGGAGATTTATTTATGTCTTCAGGGTCACCTTTCAGGCAGTTCAAAGAAAAAAATGTTCAAATTCAATGTTCAAAGAAAAAGGAAAAAAACAAGGAAGTCCAGTTGTCTCCTGAAAAAAACACTTTTAGGACAAGCATGACCTGGATGACTGAGAATCTCTACAGACATAGAAGCTGCTACTGTTCTCTTTTTATTACATTATTAGTTTAATCTGTATTTTATGACTTGCCAAGAAAGTTTTGGCTATGGCGGGGGACGGGGGGGACGGACAGACTGCAATCTTCCAATCAATCTAAAATCTCTCCCCTTTCAAAAAACAGTTTCCTAATAATAAGTTTGCTTGCTCTAACTCCCAAATACACAAATTTTGTTATCTGGGGGGTGACCCCAGGCAATTGTCTAGTGTGTCAAGGCTGCTCTTTAAATTGGAGCCAGAAACTTTGTGAAGAATGGAGTTCAAGTGTTTTAAGGGGTGAAAAGTCTTAAATTTATACAACACTTAAAATTACCCATTTTGCCCTTTGAATTCCCATTCCATTAAATAGAGGGTTGCTTTTTTGTTTTTTTGTTTTTTGCAAATTAGGGAATGAAATCCTAGGGATGCTATGATGTGTTATGTAGGGATGGTTTAGCATGCAAGCAAGATTTCTGAATTAAAGAACCGGGTTAGATTTTACTAAAGAGCAAGGAAAACAAGGAAAAGCAGAAAATGAATACAAAAACAATGAAGGCAAAAGTAGAAGTCATTGGAGAAATAGCCTTTTACCAGCACTGCAAGTCACCCAAAGAGCTAGAAATGGAACGCCACATTTGCAAAAAGTTATTAGGGAAAGGGAAAACATCTTTGGGGAAAGAGAGGATTGTGTCAAAAAGTCAAGATGGCACAATTGAACCTTGCTCCTTGTGGATAGGACAAATGTGGGACTTCGAATGGACTTGCAACTGCCATCCTGATTATTTTGACATCACTCTGCATGGACAGCCAGGCAAGTCCCACCTATGGTCCTTAGGAGATTCTTGTCTTTGGATACCCCAAGGGATGCAAATGGGGAGAATTAAGGAGGCAGAAATTCAGTGGGAAGGGGAGAGAAAATGAAAAGGGGGATTGAAAAGCTACCCTCTAGGTGACAGGGGGATGATTGGGGAATAGAGAAAGATTTAATAATAGATAAGAAATTAGACTGGGTCAGAGAAAGAAGGGCTAGTCTGTGCTTTCATTCACTGAGAAGAAGGGATTGATAATGCCTCCAGGAGTTCATGGAGGATGGGGAAGACTGCAAAATTAATTTCCCCTCTCTCTGATCTGCTTTATGCCGTGCCACCCAATACGGGTTGTTAGGGGGACTTCAGAGTCATTCCTTTCTCAGAAGTAAGTTCACAAATGTTTCTCGGTTCTTATTGCCTTAAAACAGGAGTCTCCAACCTTGGCAACTTTAAGGCTTGTGGACTGCAACTCCCAGAATTCCTCAGTCAGCTGGCTGAGGAATTCTGGGAGTTGAAGTCCACAAGCCTTAAAGTTGCCAAGGTTGGAGACCCCTGCCTTAAAATGTACCCTCCTCTTCCTCCTACAGTGAAGATGACAGCATTGGTTAAATGTTAATCATCGAAATAGCCTTTCAATCTTCTGTATACAATATATTCAACTCCTTAGTCAATCTCCCTACAACAGAGGTTTTATCCTGTATGCCTATTGGTATTATTGGCACTAAACCTGGACGAAAGGCTACATTTGCAGGGGAAGGACAGAGTAAGGAAAAGAGAATTACTCATAGGCACTGCTTTGTAGTAACCATTTCTCCAATATCTACCCTGCAGTATTGGAATTTTGGAGGTGAGCGATTCTCAGGTCAAGCTAAAGGAGAGGAAGGTTTCTGATAAACTTGGTGACTTCACTCCATGTGGTGAATGTTCTTAAGAAATTAATTGATGCGTGTAGCCCCCCCCGTGGACAATTGCGCACCTGTCCTGAATTTGACAAATGTGTCCATGAAATAGATAACATCAGAGGAATAATCCAAGAACAGCCAAAGTGCAAGATGATTCGTCTGAAGCTCATCAAAGCAGGCCCTAGATAAACCAGAGGATCTGGTCAGAGACAAATAGAAACAAACAAATACGATACAATAATCACATGGTTCTTGAAAATAATAGGCAAATTTGGAGGACTGGGGCACATTTAGAATGCTTAGAATATGACGTGATTGGGTATTCTCACAATACGATTTGCCTAATTAGAAAATAACTTTTGTGATAGATGTGGCCAATCAGAAAACGTTTGTTTACCAAAGAACAACTGATGAGATAGTTTCCTGTCTCTGCACATAGCGGCCTGAAATATTCCCTATCGCTCTATTTTCTCTGCTGGTGCACGCTTCTAAACAATTTCCTGGACTGCATCTCCCCACAATTAATGAACCTTAATAACACACCTCCAACCCAGTCGCTGATTTTGCAGCAGATCAACCTCTCATTTGCTTACCGTATTTATAAATAAAACACTCTTTTTAAAAAACAATAAAGCCTAGCAGGATTGAAAACTAAGTAAGCACCAAGTCCTGTAACCACAAAATCATTGGCTCCCATGCCTTCAGCTAACAATGTCTTTGTTAATATTTGTATTGAAAATATCAGTTTGCAAATCCCAAAGGCGTTTTTTCAAAAGGCAGCTGGACTTTCTTTGTTTTTGCTTGAAGACATTTTTACTCTTCATCTAAGAAGCTTCAGAACTGAAGAAGCTTCTTGGGTGAAAAGCTAAACATCTTCAAGCAGCAACAAAGTCCAGTTAGTTACCCTTTGAAAAATCACCTTGGGGGACAACAATGACCTGGAAATCTGATAATCTGAATAGACATCCGTTTGAAAGGTTTGGCATTGCCAACAAGATGGCCATTTTTAAAAAAAGCAAGCTGCCATTTCTCTCTATCTTTATGAATGCATTTGCTGATTTACTTTTAAATGACTCCTGGTGGCATTTATTTATGTATTTATATTTGTATGTCTGCCCTTCATCACGGGGACTCTGGGCAGTGAACAAACACTGCAGTCCTGTTACTGAATGAAAAAACCAACGCAGAGTGTGTTAGCCATATAAGGAATATAGCTGTTACTGGTTGACAAATGACTCCACCAGGTGGCACCTACAGGCTGCTACAAAAATGGTATTTTCTGAGTCACTTTGTATGGATCAAATACATGAACATAATTGAACAAGGAATCCAAACCACTGTCTTCTTGTGCTCAGAATGAACAGTTAGCTGGACAGAGATTTGTATATTATTTGGTTGGTTGGCTAAGCATGCAGTGTGAATCTGACTGTTGTGTTTTTGCAGTTCTTAGTTTCTTGCTTAGTTTGTGAGAATTGAGTCCATTGGGGCAAAAACAAACCAAAGAGCTGTTGTTTGTGTGAGTCTGATCAAAGACTGTCTTTAGCTGATTACTGAAATATTAAATAATCACTAAGTCGGCCTATCTTCGGAGCAATTCGCTCACATCCTCTTGTTTCAGTTCTATATTATGCAGGTTTTAGTGAGAAAGGTTGTGTTCTCAGAAAGCCCACAGTATCCCTGTCAAACTATTTTTTAAGCATACACAACCTCCCTTGCTGTAGTATTGTTTCATTACGTGATGGCCTGAAAAGGAGCTGATGCAAATAAACACTTTGTGAGGGACAGACAGACAGATTAAATTTCAGAACTAGAAGCTGGCGGGAAGTGTACAATTGAAGCCCCTTCTCTTTTCAGGTAAATCATATATGTAACACGTGTAAATAACTGCAGAGCTTTGATTTCTAGCTACAATCTTAACTTTTTAAAATCACGACCATCATCCCAGATGCCGGTGACAAAAAATACCAGTAACAGCACAGAGGTGCATTAAAAATCATCCTTACCTACATACCAATAGGCAGAAGTTATAGAATACTGGTGCTGCAATGATTCCCAACCACCTATAATACAGGTTGCTTGAAGGATCTATCACAAAGATTTCTTTCTTTTCTCTGGAAATGAAAAAAAAAGGAGGTTTATGGGCTCATGAAGAACTCTCATCAAAGAAATATTTTATATAGCAATAAAGGAGAACATTTGTAGCTCAGGACTGAAATGAGAGGTCGTTGGTGGTCTCTGATTTTGGTTGTTTTCTGTCATGCTCCTGTCAGAGTCTGAATCCGAGGAGGAAGACAAACAGCTAACAGGGAGTGAGAGTGTCGATCCGTTGGCTGTGGAAGGGCAGAGTCCAGCTGGACAGAGCAGGGGAGAGATAGAACAAGGGGGAGGGAGTTCAGAGGAAGACCCAGGCCCACCCCCTCTTTATCCTAGGGCATGCAAGGAGGAACAGAGAAGAAAGCAGCATGGGTTGCATGGCTTACGGGGGAGGAAAGGGCCCTGATTCCTTTCATTAGCCACACCTGGGAATGAAAGTTTAAAAGAACTGAATGCTGACTGCAGCAGCTGCTGGGAGCAAACGTGAATTTATCTTGTGTTGTCTTTGCTTATCTGTGTTCTTGGTGTCTTTCCAACCATGTTGAGTTTTGCTGTGCCTTCACGCCTGGAATTCTTGCTCCTGCCCTGCCAAACTAATTTCCTCAGTTTGTCTTGATTGGACTTAGAGTTACAGTTTTTGTTGACCATATTTTGGACTTGATTCCCTGTAGCCAAAAGCTGTTCCTGGGAGAGTTTTTCTCCAGCCCAGAAGATAACCTGGACACTGTGGGCAAAGTTGGAGCTATTAAAGGGACTCTTATTGATTATCCAACTGTGTTGCCTTTGTGCCATGCCCATCACATTTTCTTTCAAGCATTTCATAATCCAAACTAGGTAACATTGTCACTAGCACTGTTGTTAGTTACTTAGTTTGGGTAACAGGAAAACAACCAAGCTAGGAGAGCACCTAAAGCCCCTCAAATATTTTATGTTTCATAATTGCTTTTAAGGACCAAAAGCAGATGTCTGCAGCTAGGAAAGAAATCCTTTACAGCTGGTATTGACCATTCAATCAATAAACATTTTTAAATTGAAAGTGGCAAATTTATCTTTTCAATCACTACAACTAGGGCTTCAATAATATACGGAACAGCTTTGAATTCCAGTTGTCTGAGTCCTCCCTAATCCATGATAGAACTAACTTGGTTGGTGTCCTGCCTTTCTGGGCCCAGGACAGACCCAAATGCCCTGTTTCCATGAGTTTGCTATCTAAAAATCTAAAAAGCAGTGATTAGGGCAAATACTGATGGTCCAATGGATCACTCTGACTTGAGGACAGCCCTCTCGGTCCTTTAATCCAATATTCTACCAAGATCCCTGCAAAAATGCTTTACACAAACAAGAGACAAACTTTAATAAGTTCCCATTGCAGCACCCACCCATCATCCACCCATCATCCACCCATCCATTCATCCATCCATCCATCCATTCATTCACCCACTTATGAATCATATTTTCACCCACTGCAATCTCTCAGACTCTTGGCAGCTCATAGTTATTAAGAGTAAACAAAGGACAACGTAGTGAAAAATCAGGCCATCCCCAATAAGATGATGAAAAGTAAAAAAAAAAGCATTAAAAGATAAAACTGTCAAGATAAAATCTTGAGAATCCTATGACTCATTATAAGCCTTCAACAATTCCCAGGAAGATAAAAGCCATCTGCACCAGCCTGATTTTGACTGGGAGGTGACTCCATCGTAGCATAAAGCAGTGGCGCCATTAAAGCAGCAATTGCAGGTGTCAGCACTATCTGTATCACAGAAAGGAGGATCAGTGGCAGCTTCTTTCAGGATACAAAATGCAGGCAGGTCAATTCCAATGCGGGGAGAAACTCCTGCAAGTGTTTCAGTGCCAAGCCAAGTAAGGCTTTCTAGGTGCAGGTAGTCCTCAGGGTCAAGTTTCCAAGTGATGAAATCCATTTAAGAAGAAAAGTGCAAAGTCTGTCTTTCAAAAAAGATTCCTTTTATTTTGGAAAGCTGTCAAGCCCGAAATTGACACTCGACTTACAACCGCAACCGAGCCTCAAATTTCTGTTGCTAAGCGAGACAGTGGTTAAGTGGATTTTGGTCCATTTTATGACCTTTTTGGTCACTACTGTTAGGTGAATGGCTGCAGTTGTTAAATTAGTTAATGTGGCTGTTAAGTGAACCTGGCTTCCCCATCAACTTTGCTTGTCAAAAAGTTGCAAAAGGTGATCACATGACCTGGGACACTGCACAAATATAAAACGGTTGCCAAGCGTCTGAATTTTGATCGCATGACAACGGGGATGCTGCAATGGTCCTAAGTGTCAACTAAAAAGATACTCCTTTGGGCTTTTTAGCTGCCAGAAAAAGGGAGTGGGGGAAAACAAGGCATTCTTGAAATGCCTAGGCCAGGGGTGTCCAACCTTGGCAACTTTAAGCTTTGCTGGCTGAGGAATTCTGGGAGTTGAAGTCCACAAGTCTTAAAGTTGCCAAGGCTGGACACCCTTGGCCTAGATAATCACCTCAGCAGCCCAAAGTTGTCGGAGCATAAGGAGGTTATTGGAGAGCATGATGGATGATTCTTGGAGATGGGTGTGTCCATTGGAGAAGTCACATCCAGGGGGTGGGGGAAAGACCAGGGTCAAGGGAGAAATGTATGATGTGATTTAGTATCGGCTGCATCCAGCTTACGCCAACATGGCCACTCCTAATAAATCAATTTACTTTTCTCTGAGATGCGGCTGGAGACTTTTGATTTGGATGAGGGTGGATTTGTTGGAGCCCTGACATTAAGTGTGAAAAATGGTCATAAGCCACATTTTTCAGTGACATTCAGAGGTGGTATTCAGCAGGTTCTGACTAGTTCTGGAGAACTGGTAGCAAAAATTTTGAGTAGTTCAGAGAACCGGCAAATACCACCTCTGACTAGAGATTTTACAGTATCCTTCCTCTGCCACGCCCACCAAGCCACACCCACAGAACCGGTAGTAAAAAATTATAATCTATCACTGGTGACATTGTTACTTCAAACGGACACTAAACAAACTGTAGTAAGTTGAGGACTACCTAAAATGACCAGCACTTTGAATTGCACCTGAAAGCAAAAATGAAGTCATTGAAGGCCCCAAAGCAAAGGTGAGTTGCTGCTTCAAAGAGTCCTTTGCCCCAGGGAGGATCATCTAAAAGAAATACCACTCATACATCATCACAAAATCTCCAGAACCATAAGGCCTACAAACTTGAAATTTGGCATGTATGGCTTCTAGGTGTTCTTGGCTTCTAGGTGCTCACTAAGAAAGGATTTTTTGAAATGACCATCAGAGCATTCATATTTCCTATATTATTACCATTATTACCATTATTATTATTATTATTATTAACAAGCTCTGATGCTAAGGAGTTCTACTCCCACTCGCCACCTGAAAAGAAATCTGTTCCAAATGCAAAACACAAGCAGAGGAGAAGAGTTTCAGTTTCAGTTTTAGTTTCACAGCAGCAACCAGCTTTAGTAAAGAACAGTTGAGCTAAGCCACGCCCAGGCTCCTTGCTGTCTCCTTCTTGCTCACACAGCAAATACTGCTTCAGTTTCCAAACAGCTCCCAACTCTCTCACACACTGACAGGATGCTAGCCAGATGAATTCCAATGGAAGCTGGCAGGCAGAGGCAGAATTTTTTCCCCCTTATTTTCCTCCCCCTAAACTAAGACTGATCACATAGTTTCATAGCGAAGCCCAGGTATAGAGCTAGTATCTAATATATATGTACCATTGGTGGCAAAGACCTTGATCTCCGCCTGGCCATTAAGGAGGAAAACCTCCAAGTTTTAGACCTGCTTTTTGACAGTCAATGTTTAAGACACCTCAGTGGACAAATTGCAATTCTATCATGCAGGGAGTCATTCTCAGCCATTTTGCCTGATTAATATCCTAACAGCCTCTACACCGCAGGACAAGATGTTGACAAGACCTCCTGCTCAGCCTGTGATGATGACGAACAACTGAGTATCAACAGCATACATGACACTGTCCGCCCCACCAAACCAATGAATGATGACTTGTCCCTGCAGTTTCATGGAGTTATTAAGAGAGAAGAGGGAAAATAGTGAAACCTGCAGCCAGCTGCTTGCTTAATCACTCCACATTACTGGAACCACTCCCTTAGGAAGTACTTCCAATATCCAACCTTCATCAGAGGTTCAAAAGCTGTTATGGTTTATTGGCAGCAGATGCGGACGGCTGAGGTCTCGGAGAGTGAGGAGTCAGGTGAGGGACCTGTGTGTGATGTAGGGATGAGGCCAGGACCATCAGGGAGTGGAATTCTGCCTTCGGAGATTGTGGAGGCTGGCAGCAGTGATGAAGAGGTCCCCAAGGAGCCTGTGCCAAGTGCACGTGCACGCAGGGCTGCTTGAAGGAAAGAGCAGCTGCAGCAGCACAGGCGACTTGGGAGTAAGGCTGCAAGGTAATGGCCCCTCCCTCAAGAGATAAAAGCCAGCTGAGAAACTGAAGTTCTTTGCAGGAAGCAAAGAAGTTTTTGCACTCAAGCCTTGTGGACATTTGGAATATCTTGGTTGGTGTTTGGAGACTCTTTGTGTTTGAAATATTTCTTAATAACTTTATTTAATGTTCTTAGCAGCCTTGCACCATCTTGGCAAGGTTTGTTCTTATCAGAGATAATTAATTTGAAACAGCCTTTAACCGTGAAGGAACGGAATTCATAAAGATTTATTAAAAGGTTTTTCTGTTACTTCTGTTTCATGTTTGTTTCCTTGGAACAAGGTTTGGGTCAGAACAAAAACGTATTATGATCAGTGGTATCAAAAGCCAACAAAAATGGTTCTTCAGGCTATCTCCAGCCAAGTTCCAACAAGACAAATGATAATTCCAACAAGACAAATGTTAATTAATCACAAACATGCACATGTGCAAATGAGTAACATGTTATTGATAAAATTTATAAACTTTTACTAAAAATTAAACAGTGAAAGATGTGGGTGAAAGGTGTTAAATTTACATTGTTATAATCTTACAGATATTTTTTTATAAAATGATATACTTTTGGTATTCGTCACCAGAAAAAAACGCCTAAAATGTATAAAGGAAGAGAGGACTTTAATACCATGCTTGGTGGAATATGTAAAAAAGCCAAAATGGTTTGGATTCATATGCATGCATTAATTCAGAAGATTTTAAAGATTAATATACAACTGAAACCAGAGAGGTTTAATCTAATACAGTTATTTTAAGAATAACAAGTGCTGGCTTTATCCCATGTGAAAGCTGGCTGATAGGTACCTGATAATCCATTTCATCGTTGAATGCTTCTGAGTTGTCCACTGACTGAAAGTTCAAAAACATTCCCTCACAAGAGCAGCTTAGAAATAGAAGGTTAATTAACAAGAACAGTTGGATCCAGGAAAGGCCTGCTAAACAGGCAGAGCATTACAGCTTCTTTCAAGGCAACCAGCATTAGTGTAGTGTTTGTTTGTTTTTTATCAAATCTCTGACAACTTTCAAATTTGCATTATTAGCAACCTCTAACAAGGAAAAGGCTAGTTTTTTACTACAAGGGCACCTGTTCCATTATGAGAATTTTTAGCGGAATTTAGGTTTTCAGAAGTAAGGAACAAAGGTACTGCCTTACAATTGTAGCAGCCTATTTACAAAGTGAAAACTAGGAAAGACTAGAAAAAAATGTCCATGTTGTATCTGCTTTCTGCTGGTGTTGAAGCAGTTGATATTAAATCTGGCCAAATGACTGGATATATCAATAAATACACATACACATGGAAAAAATAATGAGCAAAACCAGTAAACCCTCCTGGACACTGTAAATGTGAACGTGTATGCATGCATATCTCTCTCTCCCTCCCTCTCTCCCTCCCCCTTCCCCTCCACCCCCCTTTCTCTTTTTCCTCTCTGCTTCACACATACATTCTAGCCACCATCACTGGTTCAATTGTTAGTCTTCCCATAATGCTGAAAAAATAAAGAAGACAACTCTAATAACAAGGTTAAGCCCCATTACAGAATTATCCAGGACATCACCTTAGTCACATGCTGCCAAACACTTTTGTGTTGAAGATCTGGCTATTTATAGAAAGCATTTGACTGGGACACTGAAGAAGCCTCACCATCACCACTGAATTGTGAAAATCTTCTAGACAGCCAGCAGAAATATCCGCTCCCGCTGCAAAGCCATAGGATATGAGAAGCACAAAGTACTTCTCATAGGAAAAAGTCTAACTCTCATAATATCTAAGACTAATAAGAAATATTTAACTCCAGAGGGAAAAGAAAACATCACATACTCAAACACCCATTATAGTTTTTTTTTTCAAAAAAGGGGGGTCCATGGAAAATATGAATGACAATATGAAATGGGAACTTGCACAACTTAAAGAAGGGATTTTCATTCACTATTTCCCCTTTAGTCATAAATTAAGAAAACTGATTTCTGTAATTAATTAACCAATAATCTTCTGAATAGTTCATCAATTATGAAAATGTGTTTGTTTCTTTTTTGACACTTAGAATAAAAACCAAGAGAACAGGGACTGGTTACTTGGCTGATTTAGGACAACAGAATATTGCTCCTATTCTAACAGAATAAGACCGTTAGCTAGTATTCAAAGCTATGTGTATATATGTGCATGTAAATAAATGGTTTATATATTGGATTTCTTCACTAAACCTGACTCTTCTAAAAACAAGTCTATTCCTTTTTCTGCAGCTTAGCCCTGTTAAAAGTATACATAATATCATGGAAGCAGCATCCTCTTACTTTTTCTGATCGTCTTTCCCATCCTTTTTTGGCTCAGCTTTGTTGTCTTTGTTTTCGCCCCCTTGAGCCTCAACTGAAGAATCGGATGTTTGGCCATCTCGACGGAAATGCTTCCTGAACCAGGTTCTCACCGATGAGAAAAACCCTGAGGACCTGAAAGGAAAAAGGGAACGTGCCAGCAATGCAAAGGGCCAAGATTAACGACTTCATTGTTGCTGTTGACCATCAACATTTGCTATCTAGCATTAACAGATAGATTGGTTTTCCCGGCCTGGTGGCTTCCAAACGTGTCAAATCATCCCAGCCAAGAGCAGATGTGGATGGTGGAAGTTGGAACAAATCCATAAACTGGACTGATGATGCATGTAGAATGATGATTTCCCCCTGATATGTTCGTTTGATGCACTGAATGTGTATGTACCAATAGGCAGAAACTTTGCACATTTCAGACAACAAATCTGTACCCAGATATACAGTACTTTCGCCACAATACACAAGTGTTGAGAATATTATGCTCTGTAAGAAGTTAGTGAAGCTTTGCCCAGCCACGCTTTATGCAGCAATGAGACAAGATTCATTAAGCTTTATCGTTCTCATGATCATGACTCATCACCTCCTAGAAAGATTGGGAAATGGGAGTTTGCTCATCCTTGATGTGATAAATTAGCTCTGATGAAAAGTTAAAGAAAGTTTTCCCAATAATATATAAATTACACTCTTACTCTAAGTTCTTCAGTTGAGCCAGATAAAACATTTCCCATCTGCTGCAACTCATCTTTCATCATATTCACACACTAAGACCAGTGTTCCTCAGCCTTGGGGAACTTCAAGATGCATGGACTTCATCTCCCATAATTCCCTACTTAACACATTTTAAAAGTTCCCAAAGCTGAGAAACATTTGTTCACGTCGACTTAAACCAAAATCAACTTATTCTTCTGCTCATCCCTTTCATTTCTGGCTTCATGAAGACAAAATTCACTGCATTAACAATACTGTTATCTACCTTTGCTTCCAAACAAGGTCCTAATAACCTTTTACAAGGCCACTATCCAGCTTACCCATTCGTTGCTCCTTCTGCAGATGTGTCCTCTCCTGCTTCCGCCATGGAAATGACACTCTCTAATTTTGAAGATCTATCCTCACCTGGGGAGGGGGTCCTTTAAAATCAAGCAGAAAGACATTTAGTCATGTTTCAATGGGTGCTTGCTTCAAGCTTTTCCAATCAGGCACCTGTGAAAGAATGTGCATTCTTTGATCAATCACCAGTGTATTACTGTCATAAGTGATACTGAGGGAGAATAGTCAATATATTAATCATTTTTGCCCAAGTTCAATATTTCTCAGTGCCGAAAGCCTTTCCTGAAAAACATTGCAATCTTTGTATTTGTCTGATTTTTTTCACTTGCCCCATTTCAGGTGATCACAGTCAAAAAAAGAAACAAGGGAAGAAATTCTGAGAGGAATCAAAAACTAAATAGCAATAGCACTTAGACTTATATACCACTTTATAGTGCTCTACATCCTGCTCTAAATGGTTTACAGAGTCAGCATATGGCCTCCAACAATCTGGGTCCTCATTTTACCCACCTCGGAAGGATGGAAGGCTGAGTCAACCTTGAGCCTGGTGGGATTCGATCTGCCAAATTGCAGTAAGAATAGCTTGAAGTACTGCACTCTAACCACTGCACCACCGAGGCTCAAATACCTCAACAGATGCTATTATTCACAGAAGGGAAGGAAATGTTGCTCTTCCAAGTGACATTTATATCAGACGTTTATATAAGTTAAATATAAGTTTCAAATATAAATCGAAACAGGCATTACTTTTACCATATTTTCAGTTGTTTCAGTTTTATCTTCTTCATTAGATCAGGTTCACCATCTATAACAGAGTAATGGTAGGTTTCTCTCTGCATAGTTTACTGTGAGATCAAAGTAATGTAGGAATATGGAACTGTTTAACTTATATCAAGTGTCAAATACTTCTAGCTTTCCCATATTATTATTTTTTCCCTGACTATTTAGTGTTATATTCCGGTTTCCTTTTATGCATTCATCAGTCCAAATGATTACGTTTAATTTCAGTGATTGAAAAGTCATTCAGTGAATTGAAATCTGCTATTATATGAGACTTTTATAACGCCACATATCATACTATTAAAATCTTTAGGACTACGCTTGTCCTTTTTGTGGAAACACCGTGGGTGAATGAATATGTATGTGAAATGAAAAACAAGCTTTGAGGAGTATATCTACTCAGATTATCTCTTTTCTGGAATAGAGACAGTCTGAAAGTGCTGACATTTCAGAATTGTGGCAGATTATGAGTCAAGGTCTCTAGATGAAGTTTTTGACTAGGTTATGCCTAGGAAAGAAGAAAAGTTTATCTAGATATATGTTAGCCCTTTATTATTTTGGTATCTTCAACAAAAAGCAACTTTGCTACACTTATACATAAATGTGCACGTGCATTCAAATAGATCCCACTTTAAATAGAGAATGGATTTATTATATGAAAACATTAGGGTTAATACATTGTATTCTTAAACATTGAATTGCTTTGTATGTGGACAAAGCTAATGGTGCATCGAAATGTATGTGATTCCAACTCTGAAACAGTGTTCATGCAAAGCCGCTGTTCCACTGGGGTTTTTATTTCTTGATAAGAAACTAAGACTGGATTCCTTAAGAAACAGGTTTTATATCTGATTTAACAACTCTAAGTATACACAGTTTGGAAGAAGTGGATGAGACATGACAAGAAAAAAACAAAATAAATAAAAACCTATTTCTGAATGAGGCATAGCATCTATTTATCTATTATTGAACACTCACTGATTGACTCTGGATAGCTATTTTTTTTATTTATTTGTGTGTTTGAATCAGCATTGATTCCTGGCAACTGCCTGGACAAGTCCCTCCAGTTTACTTCGCAAGATTTTGAAAATGGTTTGCCTCATTCCCAGGGTTGAGAGAGAGTAACTGGCCAAGGTCACTTACCTCTCTTTGTGCTTAAGGCAGGATTCAAACTCGTGGTGTTTTTGTTTCTAGTCTGGGGCTTTAACCCCTATAGCAAACTGACTCTCTCTGGGTGGCTAACCAGCATTTAAAATAATCAGGAACAGGAGAATCATTAAAATAATAAATAATATATTGCATACACTAGCTACAGACTACATCCTATATGAGTCCAACCAGCTCCTGCCTAGTACCTGGGCTAAGAACAGGTCTTCAGTAGCTTTTTAAAGGGGGAGAGGATTGAATCTAACTAATTTAGGGAAGAGGCTATGAACCTATATCAACTTTATGCCGCTGCATTCTGGATCAACTATAGCTTCCAAGTGGCTTCAAGGGCAGTTCTACATACAGCAAATACTCTGAATAAGAGGCAATAAGCAATTTCCTCCCAACAGTCCAAGGACTGACACAATTGACACACAAGAAGAATAAGTACAAATGCCATCCTAGGCATAACTACTATGTGCTAGTCAAGTAGGAGCCAGGAGCCATTCAGAAACCCCAAATTGAATAACAATCCTGTCTGTGGTAATTCAAGCCCATCCTCAGTTAACAATGAAAAATATCTAGGTCCAAGTGGCCGCAAAATCCATAGCCGCTTTGTCTTACCAGGGGTGAAGCTAAGCCTGTTTGTCTTGTTCCAAACTCTCACAGCTTCCAGGCAACTGAGAGGAAACCTTATCACTATCACTTGGTCAGCCTGCATACAGATACAAGTAGCCTTCAGACCCAAATAGGACCAGAATTTTTGTTGCTAACAAGGCAGCTGTTAAGTGACTTTTGTGCCACAGTCGTTAAGCAAATCACTGCAGTTATTAAGTGAACCATGTGGTGATTAAGCAAATTCAGCTTCTCCCATTTACTTTGCTTTTTGGAAGCCATATGGGAAGATCACAGATGAAGATCACATTTGAGATGCTGCAACAATCATAAATTCAAACGTGCTAGTTGCCAAGCCCCCAAATTTTGATCGCTTGACCATGGGGATAGGGTGAAAGCCATAAACACAAGGACCTGTCATAAGTCACTTTTTTAGTGCCATTGTAACTTCAGTTGGTCACTAAATGGATGGTTGTAAGTTGAGAACTACCTCTATATAACTGGATATCAACAGCATACTATTGACAATACTTAACCCCACATTCCCAGATAGCCTCATCCAGAAGTTTCATCTAGATGTTAAATAGGAGTAGCCTGAACTTTGAGCCCTAAGGCCCAGCTCTACATACTTGGGTAATCCTAGATATGTCAACCCCATCAAAACGAATTAGAACTGTCCCCGGAAGAAGGAAAAGAACGACCTAACACAATAACATGGTAGCTATATATGTACAGTTGCATGTTGAAGTAGCAAATACTATATAATTGAAAAAATGTAACAAAATTAGGGCTTTTATCAAGAGAGGTAGGATCGATCATATTTATTCTGACATTCAATAAATATTCTTTAAATTCTCACTGTCATCCCTTCCAAATGAAAGCTTTAGTAGTCCTTACCGTGGTAGCCACAGGGGGCATGAAAAGAATCACGTTGATGGCCGTTACCATTGCCTTCCATTTCCATGTGCATAAAATACCTTTTCTCTGCATTTACCTCCATGACATTGCTTTTATCTCATGCCTTTCCCCCCATTTTTCCTGATATTGTCCAAGGGAATTTTCAAGATGTGCCCAATCTGTCAAACATAACCTTTTCATTACCTTGGAAAGAGATCAGACGATGAACAAGGACACAACAGAGACAATGTAGGGTTAGTGACAATGATGATGACAAATGTTATGCTGGTATGATTTTGTGCAAGTTCACAGATGGATGGATAGCTTTATAATTTGGTAGGGGAAAGGGGTGGGTTTTTTTTTAGCTATCTACTGCTTTTTTTGCATAAGGAAAAGCCTGCTAATGTTTCTAATTCTTTCCAATAGAACAGTTCCATCAAGCAACTAATTGAAAAGACCACGCTATTTGAAAGCACAATCTCTGGTCTTCTAAATGAAGGAGATAAATATAGAAGTAAACGGGAACAGCCTTCTCAAAGTTAACCTCATTTAATTCCTGTTGATAATAAAAAAGGAAAATTATCTGTTGCCTACAAATGTGCAAGAAGGCAACAAGACAGTCTGAGACCTGTGGAAAGAAAGCTCTAAATGATAAATCCCTTTGCAAGATAGGAATTTGCTGTTAAACTTTATGGGGCTGCTTCTGAGAAAGTAAATCATAAGATTGCATATTTAAATTTCAATGGTTGGCAAACTGTATTTATGGATATATGTTTTAAGAATGGAATTTTGTTTTTTTGCATTCTTTGCCTTCCAATCTCCATAAAATTCCTCTCCTCTCCTTAAAGAAAAAAACATGTTTATTTATTTATTTACTCATCTATTTAATTACTATAGCCACCCATCTCAAACAAGTGACAGTTGGGCGGTGAACAATCATGAAACCTTTCTTATGATGATGGTGATGGTGATGGGTTGAATCCATTACCTCTTAATTCCATTTTCAAGTCTACCGGGGTCATCACTAACTGTCTTCCCAGAAGATCTATGGGCAGCAGGGTGGGAATGATAAGTGTTAACTTTAGCCATTTTGCTTAATGTATCAGCCACCAAATTATACCTGTGATACAAGGAGAAAATATTAGAAATTCTACAAGATAAAATGACACTTTTTAAAAAAAGATGAAAATAAAGTTCCCAAGAATCTTTTCTTAGAAATCAATTGTATTTAATTCAAAGATATTTACTGTTCAATTCTATAGAAGTCTTATCAAAAGTAAATTTTATTGAATTTGGTGAAACTTTGTTCTACGTAAGTGGAAGTGCTCAAGATGGCAATTGGCAGAAACAGATCCTTTAAGTCAGGTGTGTCCAACCTTGGCAACTTTAAAACTTGTGGACTCCCAGAATTCCCCACCCAGCAATTCTAACACTTGACATCCACAGATCTTAAAGTTGCCAAGGTTGGACACCCTTACCTTAACTGTTGTTGAGCTGCAAAACTAACAGCTTTGATTTTTGATCATCTTGGATGGGAACTGCATTAATAAGGTGGATAGAATTATGCATAGTAGGGAATAAATAAAAATTATTTCAGTTTTCACAGTACTTCGACGATCCAGTGAAGCTGAATAAAGAAAAAGAAGAATTTCAAATAAAATTCATCCAGTCTGTAACATTTGCTTCTGCAAAAATCTTCAACTTGAATGGCTTAAAAGATTGTTCCAATTTCATGGAGGAAAAGACTATCATTTATAACTACACTTCATGTTCTTAAATATACCTAGTCAACACTGTTTCCCTCAAACTTCAGAATATTTTAGTTTGCCAGGAATTGTTTATAGGCCAAATAAATATTTAAAATTTCATATAACTCTACAGATAAAGCAAGAGTGGCATGTAACGATTACATTGTAGGATTACAGTTTTTTTTTATTTTCAGTTTTCATTTACTTATGAAATATACAGTAACATATTTATTGAAACAAAAGTGTTAGAAGTGTAGGAACATTTTATTACCATAGCCAATTATCCACTATAGCATTTTATTTTTCCACTGTGACATACATGAACCCTTAAATTAAACAGAAGCAACAGAAGAATATTAGAGGCTGGATCAATATTGAAAATATGGCTGCATCCATCTTTGACTCACAGGTATCATTTTTCAAGGCAGATGGAAAGTTCAGGGTTTTTTTGTCTATAAGAATTTGACATTGCAAAAAACACAAACATACACACACATATACAATAAGTGGAGCACTGTACTTCTATGTCATAGTCTGTACTTCTAACATCACGTTATAAGATATTATGTCATAGTCTGTACTTCTAACATCACGTTATATTATGAGCTTGCCTATTTTCTTGCAGACGTTTCATTATCAAACTAGGTAATATCATCAGTGCTATCTAGTGCTACCCAGTGCTATAATACATTAAGTGGAAAGGGGGCAAATGTATAAAATAAGCACATTTCTAACAAGCATGTTAAAAACACATGAGTATGCTTCTTAATATTCATTTTGTTTTTCTTTCCATAAAGAAGCATTCCCTACATACAGTAAACCAAAGTGTGCTTAGCAAGCTTTTAATTTGCACAAGTATGCAAATATCAGAGATAAAAAGTATGGTACCTGGAATTTCCTGCACATTTGCCATCTCTCACAATTTTATCTGTGAATAGACCACCACACCCACACACAATTTTTAAAAAGATAGGCTGAAATTCACCAAATGTTGATAATTTTAGGAGTGGAAGTTTTGAGCTATATAAATGTTGTTGAGCCTACCTTATATGTGATGGGCATCTAAGTGATAAATAGCAATTAGTTTGAGAGAGAATTGGAAGGCTTTTTAGAAAGATAAAATCAATTGTCACTACTAATATATGCTCTTTGTTCCAGCTCAAAAAAAATGCTGTCACTTAAACCAAGCTCAAACTGCAGGATTTGGGGGGTGGGGGGGCGTGTAGCGTTGAGGGAGGTGAATATTTCACAGTGGGTAACAGTGATTCACTGAAGGCATTTAGCAGAGACTGCTTTGACCATCTGTTAGAGTTATTTCAATTGCCTCCTGTGTAGCAGAGAAAGGAATTGAACTTAGATGCCTTCCAGGATCTTTTCCAAATCTATGATTCTAAAACAATGTCCATTTAGCCAGAAAACACTTGTAATGCTTCCCACTGTGGAGAAAAATGAAAGCAAGCTGTAAATAGTATACTTAGAAACAGTCAGGAATAATCACTGAATGGAGGCAGCCCATAACTCTTTCCTTTAAAGCCAATGGTGTGTTTAGCTTAGTGAAAACTGTGGAGGATGGGTGCAAATCCCTTTGCATAACAATGTTATCCTTGAAAGAGCTGGTCACGAGGTAATGAATAAGTTTAAATGATGCGCTGAGCAGAAATCATTCTACTCAGCACAGTCACTTCTAGGATTAACAATGGTACAAAAATAACCTGTTTGCACTTTCTGCCTTTGGACCACCCTAAGGAGTAACTATTAAAGTTGATCTGTTATGAAGACAGAGGTAAGGCACAGAATCCATGAAAGGACTATGTTCTCTGAAGAGAGATGGAGACGACAACCTGAAAATGTCAGTAACAGGAGCCAAATCCTTCCATAATAATCTGGTTCCCAGCTCAGTCCTGGCCTGTTAAATATCTTCAGAGTTTTTCATATCTTGTCACTTGAGCCTTACATAGTCATCCTTTTTACATCAACTTCATGTTTTTAAAATTCTTGGCTGGAACTCTTAATCCACCCAAAGAAAAGCAGATGTGGTACCAAAAATGTTCAGGCCTTCTCAATAGAACCTGGAATCACCTTAGATAACTTCTGTTCTTTCGTGTGCCTTCCTTATTCACACATCCCAACTGCAGCCAGTGATTTTTTTTTTTACCACTTACAATACATTTAGGGTTTCATAATATGTCTGCAATTGTCAGGCCCAAAGAACTAAGTAGAATGGTACATGGAGTTACTTCTGAATAGCTCCTTTATTGTTGTTCATCTACAAATAGAAATCTTAGAAATCTTGCCGGAATAAAGCAATTAACAATAGCCCTAGCAAAAGCACTTAGACTTATATATATATCGCTTCATAGTGTTTACAGCACTCTCTAAGTCAGAGGTATCCAAACTTGGCAACTTAAACATTTGTGGACTTCAACTCCCAGAATTGAAGTTGGGAGTTAAAGTCCACAAGTCTTAAAGTTGCCAAGTTTGGAGACCTCTGCTCTAAGTGGTTTATAGAATCAGCATATTGCCCCCAACAATCTGGATCTTCATTTTACCAACCTCAGAAGGATGGAAGGCTAAGTCAACCTTGAGCCAGTCAGGATCAAACTGCTGGCAGTGGACAGAGTCAGCCTGCAATATTGCATTCTAACCACTGCACAATCACGACTCCTACACACACTAACTATAGATATGCTCTGTGAGTTGTGGTGAGGTTCCTCCTTGACCTATTCCTGCCCACCAGATATTCCAAACGACACTGTCTCTTTGCTCTCTGGAAAAGGGCCCGTCCCGCTTGCGACTCTGAACAACATTCCACCACAGCAATGGTGTGCACAAAGTTGCTTGATGCAAAGTTGCTCAGCCTGTATTAGAAATGCTGGTTTTCACATGACTGGGTCAATCTAGAGCTAGGGAATGAGAAGCAGATTAACATGCCTCAAATGGTTATGAGAATAAGATCTTTCATTCCTGATCAGAAATGGTCATGGTGGTGGACTCCAGTTGCCTCGTGGATATACAATTCTGTTTTTCATTGCAGCCTTTTAAAAATTTGGGGACAGGTTAAGAGACATTGTCAAGAATATCTATAGTGCTACCTTCATATTCTCAGGTCTTCCAAATGCATTGGCCTATAACACTCACCATTCCCAAAAGGTATTGGATTGGCAAGAAGTGAGTTACTATAATCTGGATATAATTTTTACTGATGGTAATAAAAAATATAATACTTGAACTAAATATTTGGAGCCCAGGTATTTCAGAGCCAAATTCTGCTACCAAACTTATAGTACCTAATTGATAGATCATTTAGTAACCAACTGCACACACAGAGGACTCTGCTACAATGGTTCTATGTCTCCCAGTATGATTAATTTTGAAATATAGTGACAGTGGAAAAACTAACAGATTTTGCTATTAGTGTGTGTGCATGTGTGTATGTATATGTGTGTGTGTGTATGTATATAATTTAGGATCATCTGTTGGAATGAACTCATTGTTCAGACAGGAACTGTGACCACAAACCATTAATGTTTGTCTCTAGTCAAAAACCTGAATCCCTCAAATATTTTGTGAAAGTTGCATGCTAATACATAAATCCTTTTAACTCAAAGCTGATAAGGGGAAGCATAGATTGGGGTTTTCTCAAAACCACCACCATTTTAAAAGATACATGATACTACAGATATTGGTGAAATATATACTTTAAAAAGTCTGCCAAGGATGATATTACATCAAAAAAGAAGTCATGATAGAAATTTGACATAAGAGGTTTGTCAGAGATTTTATCTTGAAAAGGACATGTAATTACGTTTCTTTTTTTAAAATGACACTTTTATGAATTATTCCCTTTTTAAAATCTTTTCATATCTTATCTTACCCACGTGAAATAGAAAATGAAATAGATGTATTTCCATCTATGCATCTATAAATAGAGAATGAGATGAGGAAATTTAAAGGAAGAGAAATGGGCTAATAAAGCTTGAGAAAAAGGACAGAGGAAGAAAATTGAGGTAAGACATAGCTTAAGATGCTGGGCTTGTCAACTGGAAGGTCAGCAGCCCAGGTTGGAGTTCCACAGGATGATGTAAGCTCCTTGTTAACTCATAAAGCATTCCTGGCTTACTCTCGAGTTGCCATAAGAAGGAGGAGGGAGATCTGATGGAGCAGTTGGGTTGCTCAGACCAAAAGCATATTCCATGCATATCTTTCTCCAGATTGTGTCCTAGGTTACCAGAGCCAGCCGGAGAGGCGTGTTTTCTACAGCCCGCGAAAGTGCTCTGTTGGAGAATGTGATCTAGGATACACCCTGGGAGAAGGGGGGAAACAAGGTCATAGGTGGGCAGT